TTTAGGGAGTAACGCAATATTGTAATGCATTACTTTTAAAAGTAACTTTCCCCAACACTGCTAATGACACATCATTTGGATATTTTCATGTCTGGGAAAATTTGGGGATTACACGGGTTAAAATGCGTTTTAAACATAAAGTTAAGTGGTTTTCACTACCCATTTTACTCTTAGTAATTTAATAATTTAATACATTTCATAATTTAAAAGTTTAGTGCAGAAGTATCGAAATCGACGATACTGCCTTGAAAAATATCGGTATCGTACCGAAAACAAAATAAGGGGTATCGCCCATCCCTAGGGTGGGGTATTTTGAATAAAGATTAGAAGGGCACACATTAATTAAAAATAATAATCAATATTCCAAAAAAAAAAAAATTAATTGTTCATTTTGTGGGGGCGTGGGGGTTTCAGGGCTAAACTGGGATGTTCCTGTCTCATCTGTAGTTAGGCTATTCCATCCTTTACATTATCAGTATCAGTCACAATATGCATTACGTTAGCGGAGCAGAACGTTTAATAGCTTACATACAGTGATTCTGGTCCATCTACATGTTTCTATGAAAGCATCTTTAGAGCTGAGCATCTCCAGCAGCTTTCCCAGCACGTGCGCGAGTGCTGAGCCATGAAACAGTGATGCTGGAACTACTGCGCCACCCGCATGAGCGCCAAAGGATTGCAAGCACTCAGCGCATTTAAAACCCCCTGCAAAGCACTGGGGGTGTTACAGTGCGAATTTGACTCTGACTGAGTAAAAGTTAGCCCGGGATTTTCTTGTGGACAGTAGGACAGATACACAACAGCATGGCAAACAAAGGACAACAGCCTCCCTACCTTCACTTGGCAGAGATGACCGCATCCCAGTTCCTGGAGATCTGGAAACATTTTGATGCAGACGGTGAGTACAGATGCGCCGTTTATTCCACGGATTATGATTCTGAGAAAGAACTTATTAAGTCATAAGTGAAATGCTATCATTAAAATAGCAGGGAAAAAAGTTTGACGCTAATAATTTCCAAAGAAAACACTTGTAGGGCTAAGGAACTAAAGATTTTGTTAGAAATTTAGGTGCGAAATAAAACAAAATAAATCAAAGAAAATTGATAAACAGCATTCTAGCATTTATGATCTACGGCTATTGTAATTGGTAATGCAGTAAGAATAGGCTACATTCAATTGTATAATATTGTATACAAATGTATTCTTTTTTTAATAAATCCCTTTATATGAGATTATTTTATGAATCATACTGTCACGTCATTTAGGCTATTCATTCAGCATTTTTAGAACCCTTCTTGGCACAAATCAAGAGCAGACTTTGATCACCATTGCTATTATCTAGTACCCTAATAAGCAATTATAGCGTACAATGTGGCTAAAATCCTTTAATTGATACAATTCTTAGCGAAGTGACTGCCAGTAACTACAGAAGGGGCTCCATATAGAGTCCCATTGGTGAAATTACTTTTACTCAGGTACTCTGTTGGGAAGATGGGTGTGTGTTCAAGGTCCTCATCACCCAGGACATCTTCTGAAGATCACTTACAGGAAGCTCATCGGATACTATTCCTGGAGAGTTAGCAGTTGGCTTGCATCCTGCAATATCTAAAGCTGAAAATATATCATTGACTAATTATTTATGTATTAGGAACATAATCGTATCTGTAGGGCAGATGTTATCGTTCGCAGCTTGGTGCCAGTGTTTCTTTCCTGTTCGTTTCCCGCCGAATGCATATGGTTGAAATACAGAAAAACGAAACTGACAAATATCACACATACTAACCTAGAATAGCGTTACCTATGATCTCAGCTATAAACTTATAGCAAAGGGGAAAATAAAACAACCTCAGAGGAAACAACAAAACAAACGTGTTGGGCTGGGTCCCAAAGTAGGGTAGACTGAGTACATTTGGGACATGTGTACAGTTGAAACACCTTAAATAACTTGCTCTACACTTGGTTATTAGCATTCTCTTTGATCATGGAACATTTGAAAGGTGTGCCTCTTTCCACTCCAAAAATATCGGCAAAAGGTTTTTTTTCCAAGGTAAGATTTTCATTTCACCATGTCCCTTCCACAATGAATAGCTTATTATCCTTTTATGCCTGTCAAACTTCATGTATATCATTGCAAACGTTACTCTGTGCTCTAAAAATAGACACATTTTATGATATTGTGCCATGCAAGGTCTTTGCATAATCTAGAGAAACATGCGAGTAGGACAGTGGGGTACGGTTGAGACGCAGTGTATCAACTGTATCCAGACAGGTGTCCTATTGCGTCACATGCTGTTTAGCTGTACAGTGTTATGATAATAGGTTAAAAGTCCCATTTACACACATGCTATACGCAAATTATGTTTTAAAAAAATATATTTGTGATATTTTTCAACTGTCTATTATTAATGGACATATTTCCTAACATGAATGTTAAAAGTATAACATAGCATTTTGTGAAATATACAAGGTGGTAACGTGGGAACAGATGAAACACCCTTTATATCCTATATGTATGCAGTAACAGTTCAATCAGAAGATAAAATGTATTTCAGAGGTCGTGTGTGTGTACTGGTATTACCTACGTTATGGGGACCAAATGTCCCCACAAGTATAATACCAGTAAATTCTAACCTTATGGAAAAATTTTGTTAGGTCCCTATGAGGAAACAAGCTCATAAATCATACAGGATGATTGAAAATGTAAAAATACAGAAAGTTTTGAGTGATGGGTATAGTTTTAGGGGTAGGTTTATAGAATATACAGGTAGTAGAGGATTAAAATATACTGTCTGTATAGTATAAAAACCACTACGATATGGAATGTCCATATAATGTTAGAAATACCTGTGTGTGTGTGTGTGTGTGTGTTTGTGTTAGGCAATGTAGTCAGTGAGTGGACTTTATTTTTGTTTCTGTTTTTGTTGTTTTCCATGACTATTTCCATTTGTTATTTTTACTGTTATGTTTACATTTGTACTGTCTGCCATATCTTTTCTAGTGTTAAATATTTTGTTAACGGAATCTGAATTAAATAAAGTGAATAAATAAATCAGATTTTTTTTTATTGCACAACTGTAATTTATTACATTTGCAATAAATGGTTAGCCAGCTTTAGAGCGTTAAGAATGGGTGTCTCAACTGTACCAAGGTACTGTTTCAACTGTACCCTATATGGGTAAAGTTGAGACAAAAATGCACCTTATGTTTATGAGCTAATTGTGGAAAATATAAACTACTTGTGGCTATTGAAACTACGGATCCAAATGTTAAAAAGCCTTTATTCAAACATGGCTCACTCTAGAAATATTAAAAATGACTAGAACACTGAACACTGATGCATTTTGGCCATCCAGCCTTCCTCAGAGTGTGTCAAGTACAAAATTAGTCACAGGTGTAGATATAATCAGTTGCTCAATAGAAATGGGAGAAACCAAAATACTCATTACAGAGGGGACCAATAGCATCATTAACAATTTCGAAGTGTAATCACATATACAAAAAAAAAACCATATATATATATATATATATATATAATACTTGTGGCTATTATTAGTTTATGATATTTTAGTACATAAGCAAAAGAAATATCATGTGAAAACCACTTCATTTCGGCATCTAGTTTTTGTGTAGTGATAAAAAAAGCAGAAAGTGTCTTTACTACGAAAGAAGTTCCGTTCACCTGAGGAGGTAACCATAGCAACAGTAGCTTTTTCGCACTCTGTATCAGGTGGTACATTTATAAAACAAACAATACAGTCATCATTTATGAATTTATTGGGTATATCACGAAAAACTTTAGTTTAAGAGAATTTACGTTTGTGCTGGGAATGACAATCAAATCGATTCCTAGAAACAAACCTTAAAAAGCGAGAAAGCGTGAAAATCACTGACAAAAATTCCATTAAAAAATCAAAGGTGTGCAGTCTGACCCAAGTTTATGAGGGATGAATGTTAAAAAGTTAAAAAGTAACCAATTAATCTGACTGCCACAAGTTTTAAGGAAAATTTGAATTGAAATAATGTTTATTAAGATTCTCAGTCATCCACATCACTACAGAATATCATCAAGAAGATATTGAGAAGCATCTGGAATTATTTTCTATTAAAGATGCATGACCACTCATGTGGCTTGATGGAAATTAGTTCTGTTTTATTATCATAAGTTCATAGCTACTGCAACACAATGGAACTTAAGATTCAGTGAGTGACACGTTTTGTTGTGTCATAGTCCAAAATGGCCTCTCCAACACATCAGTTCTATTTCCAAGATGGCTGACCATCCCATAAGAATGTAGATGTGCTAGAAGAATGATGATAATAGCATAGGTAGAGCCAATAAAGAACATATAGGCATATAATTCAATATGGTACAAATGAAAAATGAATGGTCAATATATAACTAATGCATGGGCCATATTGTATACAAGCACATTTGAATCTACAATCTGTACACAATGACATTTCCAAAGACATTTTCCAAAAATTCATTGTAAGAAGAATGAATGTTCATATTAGCCCTCAAAATGTCAGAGCAATCATATCGACACCAGATGGCAACATAGTCATTTCCAACATACTCAGCAGGATTAATGTCTGTGTGAACCATAATTATTATCTATTGCACTCAACAATTTAGTAGTTTAATTATTCTGTATAGATCTCTGGCAACAATCAATGTATGTAGTGTAAACTACGGATCCAAATGTTAAAAAGCCTTTATTCAAACATGGCTCACTCTAGAAATATTAAAAATGACTAGAACACTGAACACTGATGCATTTTGGCCATCCAGCCTTCCTCAGAGTGTGTCAAGTACAAAATTAGTCACAGGTGTAGATATAATCAGTTGCTCAATAGAAATGGGAGAAACCAAAATACTCATTACAGAGGGGACCAATAGCATCATTAACAATTTCGAAGTGTAATCACATATACAAAAAAAAAACCATATATATATATATATATATATATAATACTTGTGGCTATTATTAGTTTATGATATTTTAGTACATAAGCAAAAGAAATATCATGTGAAAACCACTTCATTTCGGCATCTAGTTTTTGTGTAGTGATAAAAAAAGCAGAAAGTGTCTTTACTACGAAAGAAGTTCCATTCACCTGAGGAGGTAACCATAGCAACAGTAGCTTTTTCGCACTCTGTATCAGGTGGTACATTTATAAAACAAACAATACAGTCATCATTTATGAATTTATTGGGTATATCACGAAAAACTTTAGTTTAAGAGAATTTACGTTTGTGCTGGGAATGACAATCAAATCGATTCCTAGAAACAAACCTTAAAAAGCGAGAAAGCGTGAAAATCACTGACAAAAATTCCATTAAAAAATCAAAGGTGTGCAGTCTGACCCAAGTTTATGAGGGATGAATGTTAAAAAGTTAAAAAGTAACCAATTAATCTGACTGCCACAAGTTTTAAGGAAAATTTGAATTGAAATAATGTTTATTAAGATTCTCAGTCATCCACATCACTACAGAATATCATCAAGAAGATATTGAGAAGCATCTGGAATTATTTTCTATTAAAGATGCATGACCACTCATGTGGCTTGATGGAAATTAGTTCTGTTTTATTATCATAAATTCATAGCTACTGCAACACAATGGAACTTAAGATTCAGTGAGTGACACGTTTTGTTGTGTCATAGTCCAAAATGGCCTCTCCAACACATCAGTTCTATTTCCAAGATGGCTGACCATCCCATAAGAATGTAGATGTGCTAGAAGAATGATGATAATAGCATAGGTAGAGCCAATAAAGAACATATAGGCATATAATTCAATATGGTACAAATGAAAAATGAATGGTCAATATATAACTAATGCATGGGCCATATTGTATACAAGCACATTTGAATCTACAATCTGTACACAATGACATTTCCAAAGACATTTTCCAAAAATTCATTGTAAGAAGAATGAATGTTCATATTAGCCCTCAAAATGTCAGAGCAATCATATCGACACCAGATGGCAACATAGTCATTTCCAACATACTCAGCAGGATTAATGTCTGTGTGAACCATAATTATTATCTATTGCACTCAACAATTTAGTAGTTTAATTATTCTGTATAGATCTCTGGCAACAATCAATGTATGTAGTGTTCATTCTCTCAACGCAACAGTCAGATCGATTGCAAACACACTAGTAAGACTGCCTGTCTTCTTACATACAGCTCATAGTATTTTCTCAGCCATGCAGTGATGGTATTCACATTTATTATGAATAACAGAAAGAGAGATTAACCACAAATCATGTGTCCAGATGTCTACAAATGCCACTCTAATCCACAGGCAAATTAATCAACAATCATAATAGTTAAGACATTTCAAACATGATGCCTTTGGGAGAAACACAGATAATAGGACAATACTTATGAACTCATTGTATTCCTCACTTCACATAACACGTCACACTGTTGTGATGTATTAGGCCATGCACACAAAATCCCATTTCAAACACGCATACACAAACGCATATTTCCTTTGCATGAAGGGCCAATTTCCTGGCATGGGAAATTACCCCCAGATGGTAATATTACATTTATTTGTGGAGGCGATTTAAAATGTCAGCAGTAGCATTAAGAAGAATCTCCTTTTCGTCTTTCAAATAAATGGCTTTAAAAGGCTCATACTGTAAGGCCTCCAATTAGAGGGAAAATGGAAAAGAGAGAGCCTTCAAAGCTTAACTGGGAGACTAGCCATCAAAAGTTTTTAATTAAGAACTGTGTTACTTAGATTTGGGTGCCAGCCAACAAACCAATCTAGAGTTAACCAGCTTCAAAGCAGCCATCTAGGCAATCTCATTACTTAGCATTTCAATTGAGAGACAGTAGTTATCTAGTCATATAATGACAAACATCATTATGGCTTAAGACATCTCAGTAAGTACTGAACTTCCTTATATTGCAGGAAATGGCTACATTGAGGGTAAGGAGCTTGAAAACTTCTTTAGTCAGCTGGAGATTGCACGGAGAGGGGCTGGTGTGGTGAGTATACAGACAAGTGAAGGAGTATTAACAGAAATACATCTCATTAGGAAGCACTGTATCTTCCAAACTATACAGCGGAATTCTCAAAGCAATGAGTAAACTTCATTGTGCTATATTGTGTTGTATTCATTGTGCTTAAACTGAAAGATTGTGTGATTGTTACACTTTTACCATGATCAACTCAAAGCACATCATCAAAGAAGATTAAAGGGATAGTTCACCCAAAAAAGAAAATTCTGTCATTATTTACTCACCCTCATTTCATTGACAGCGTTTTTATTCTGTGGAACACCAAAGACGATAGATATTCTGAAAATGTCTTTGTTGTTGTTTTGGACCCCTTTGCCTTTCATTGTATGGACTATTGAAACGTTCCTCAGAATATCTTCTAAAGTCACACAGGTTTGGACAACATAAGGGTGAGTAAATTATAACAGAATTCATATTTTGGGGTGAACTATAACTTTAAGATATTGATGGAAATCAAAGCTGCTGTTTATTTGCATCACTAGCGTTGGCTCAACCAATGGCGTGATTTGGGGGTGGGACTACCTATTTGGAAGATGAAGGCATGCTTGAAACTTGGAAAATGGTTTTCAACAAATATTGATAACATTCTTTATTTTTGCAATTCTATCTCTAATTCTAACACTAAAAAAAATGGTAGAAAAATGGAAAAGGTAATGCCCAGACATTTTCTGTTACATTTCCTTTAAAGGGGTCATAGGATGCTACATGCACTTTTACAAGCTGTTGGAACTGAAATGTGTGTTGGCAGTACACAACCACCCTATAATGATAATAAATCCACCCAGTTTTGGTTAAATGTTTTCCCCTTTCTCAAATTGAGCCGATCTCAGATGCCTGTCTGTGTAACGTCACACAGACAGGCCCCTCCCATGATAGTTTGATTGACAGTAGCGTTTCAGCACAGACTGGACTGGTGTCTTACCTTAGACCCGCCCTGAGTGAGCTGTCATCAGTCTGCCATTGTTTCACCACCAGAGCAGATGTAGACAAGAATGACTCCTAAGCGATTGAGGTGTTCTGTTGTTGGATGTAATAATGAACATAGCAGTCTTCATTTACCGTATTGGCCCGAATATAAGACGACCCTGATTATAAGACCCCCCTTTTCCCAGATATACCTTTTGGAAAATGGCTTTTTAAAAACCAAATCTTGTTTTTTCTCAGTAAAACACATTTTGTCTTCAATTATTTTCATATTGCATATTTTTCCTATTTTAATTTTTGTTTTGAAAGTATGGAATGGTAAAATGTACCAACAATCACATTAAAAAAATATACACTTTTTGATATACCATTAAAAAAAAAAAACAGGTAGCCCATCTGAATTAGGACATTCAGGCTATCCATCTAATAGTAGCCTACCAAAAGCTTATTAACAGTAGACGTTAAATCTTACTGTAGTCTTCAAATCTGGGTACTGTCTTACGTTTTAAAATCACAAAGGGAGTTTGGTCTCATCAGGCTAACGTGATAGTCACGACTCATGCAGCTGTAAGGTTTTCTTTTGTTTTTACTCGCGATCTTTACAACACGCATTACATTACGTATTTCATGACACACTCGTTTTATGCGTATTTGGCGCCACCTATTGTTGTGGGTGTATTATTGACATGTCAAAGTCTAGACTCTAGACCCTGAATATAAGATGACCGCGTTTTTTCAGATGTATTTCCAAGAAAAAAACATCGTCTTATATTCGGGTCAATACAGTACTCCCGACATCTGAGCCGCTGAACTGGCAGTGGATTGCATTGTTTCTGAAGGGAATGCGCCCCCGATCTACATAAATGCGTCTGTTCGTGCGAATCATTCATGATCCAGTCTCATCTACAGAAGAAGTGAGTATAATGTTTTGTAATGAATCTTTGCGTCAATACAGTACTCCCGACATCTGAGCCGCTGAACTGGCAGTGGATTGCATTGTTTCTGAAGGGAATGCGCCCCCGATCTACATAAATGCGTCTATATTCGCGCGAATCATTCACGATACAGCCTCATCTACAGAAGAAGTGAGTATAATGTTTTGTAATGAATCTTTGCAAATCGCCTTTCCTAATAATGTGCTAATTAGCAAGTTTCAGATAAATGTGGCTAAAGTAAACAGTCTCTCTGAGAAGAGAGGGGCGGGGTCAGCAGAGCTCATTAACATTTAAAGGGAAATGCTACAAAAACGGCTTGATCTGAAAAGAGCTGTTTCTGACAGGGTAAAAAAGGTGTTTTTACACTACCATTGAGAAATTTTAAGCAAACTGTGTTACAGACTTTTCATTAAGACCCTAAAAATCAGATCAATTTGTAGAAAATGGGCATCCTATGACCCCTTTAACCCCAAAATGCAGCACAGTGCAATGCATAATTTAAAATATGAAGAAAACAACTGTCAATACACTAAATTCAATATGTAAAATTCCTTCATATTAAAACAATACTTTGGGCCCCATTTTTACTGACTTTTCTTAGAGGGAACCGTGTGCAAATCAAATATATAAAGACCCCAGATGACTAGGCAGATGGCATGCAGGAAAGATAGGAAAGGAGATTTTATCTTCATCCCTGTATGTTCCACAATAAAACTGAGAGAGCCTCACAAATGGTCTCATAAAGTTAGTAATGCTATTATCTGCCTCACAAGAGGCAATGAATATGGCACAAGGCAAAGCACAATGTACATCACTTATAAAGTGATAGCTTTTTCCTAACCTGAGAAGCACAAACTGAATAAAGCTTTTACAATAAGCAAAGAATGAGAAGAAGATTCATCTTGTTGTGCTTTCTTCACACAGGACCCCTCAAATGCAGCCTTTAAAGAGAAGATGACAGAGTTCATGCATAAATTCGACAAGAACAAAGACGGGAGAATTGAGATGTCTGAGGTAGAAGAACACATCACTTAACACGTCAACGTGACTCTGCTGTTGACACGTTCATAAATATCAGATAGACCTCAATTATCCCATCATCCCATCTTGCTTTCCGAGAAGAGGAAAACTCTAATCTCACTCATCACTTTAATCAAATCTGTAACTTACTGATGGAGCTTTCCAAAAAAGCATGGTGTCAACTAGAAAAAAAAATTTTTTTGCTAATTCACTTACTCAATCCACTTTTCATCAGCTGGCTCAGATCTTGCCCACAGAAGAGAACTTTCTCCTCTGCTTCAGACAGTTTGTGGGATCCAGCACTGAATTCATGGCTGTAAGTGATGATGCTACTTTTTCATTTTATAAATCCGTGGTCATTTATATACTGATAACACAAAACTCTTCTTGGGCGCCATACAAATATCTTCCCTACACACATTCATTACAATCTAATATGCATAGCCAAATACAACATTTCGGAGAGTTTGATCATCAGAAATGGACTGCCTCAGTGATGTATTATGTCAAGTTGAAGAGAGAGGGGAGCTAAAGAGAAAGGGAAGCTTTTTAATCATCCAGTGTGGTAGGCAAGCATTTTAAAGGGCTAGAATGAGTAAGTACAAACTTCTATTTTCAGACTCATGTATTATAGATGTGCTGCTGTAATTCTCTGTAGACCTGTAGAGGGAAGCATCTATCTTTGATAAGGGCCTGTGATGGAAACAAGGCCAGCTGCTAGATTAAAACATTCATTAAATGGCATTTCTTGCTCCTTGTTCTCACAATGCACAGCTGCTTTGAATAGAAAATACAGAGGGTATAATGAAAAAGCCAGTGTAATTAACGTAAGAATAATTTGCCGATTATTTCTTCACCTCCGCTCTCCTATTCTTCTCATTTGTCCAATCTGAGATATATTGCATGTAAAGCTGTACTCTGTGCTGATAGTACAGTTACAATATCGTTGTACGTCTATCTGTATCTGTAGGCCTGGCGAAAATATGACACAGACCGCAGCGGCTTCATTGAGGCTAATGAACTTAAGGTAAGATTTCTATTACTTTCCCTGCTGTGGTATTCTTCATAACAATCTTGAAAAGAGTTTTGAAAGCTGCTAATGTGATGAGGCAGATGGAAACTATGCAAATCTCTCTGGATTTGGCTGGCATTCCAAAGAGAGTATACAAATCACTACCTTTGTAAACAAAGCAAATGAAGCAATGCTCACTGAAGAGACGATGACCTCAAAGAGAGTAAAGCAGATGTCACTAACAAATAATGTTCTTCTTAGGCTAAAATGCTTAAGGGGTACACAAACCAGAAAGGTAGAGGGATTGTAAGATAATGATAGAAGTTAGATTTTTTAATGGATATATATATATATATATGTGTGTGTGTGTGTGTGACCCTGGTCCCGTCACAAGTAGCACGGGTATATTTGTAGCAATAGCTAAAAATACATTGTATGGGTAAAAATTATAGATTTTTTTTTATGCCAAAATTAATTTGGATATTAACTAAAGATCATGTTCCATGAAGGTATTTTGTAAATTTCCTACTGTATATATATTAAAATTAAATTTTTGATTAGTAATATGCATTGCTAAGAACTTCATTTGGATAACTTTAAAGGAGATTTTCTCAATATTTAGATTTTTTTTTTGCACCCTCAGATCCCAGATTTTCAAATACTCTGCCAAATATTGTCCTATCCTAACAAACCATACATAAATTGAAAGATTATTTATTCAGCTTTCAGATGTACAAATCTCAATTTTGGAAAATTGACACTTATGACTGGTTTTGTGGTCCAAGGTCACATATATATATATACAATTAAAATAATGTAATATATATATATATATATTACATTATTTTAATTGTCTAAATGTATATAAAATTATATTCTTGTGATTTTTACTTCCAACAGGGCTTCCTCTCTGACCTGCTTAAAAAGGCAAACAGACACTACGATGACCAAAAATTGCATGAATACACACAAACAATAGTAAGTAGTTGTCTTTGTGTTGCATTAGTCAATGTCTTATACCTCCTAGTGTCTTATCTTTATTAACGTCATTTATTTTTTAATGACAAAAAGCTTTTTACTCAATAAAAGTCATTTAATTTAATTAACACATATATATAGAACTTTAAAGTGTTATTTCACCTTAAAACCCCACGGGTTGTTTCTGCACTCCAGCTGTGCTAACATATGCCCACTCCTTAAGGCCAGAGACAAACTTGAATTATTCCAAGGCAAGCCAGCTGGACAATTGAGAGCCTTAGTTGTCCTCTACCCATTGTGAAGAACAAAATAAGTTAAGAAACGATGTGCAGCAATAGGAAATATTGATTTAATAAAGCAATCTGATGCAAGATTTCTTTAGTGTGTAAACATTTAAACTGAGCCATTGTCTCCCTTTCTAGCTCAAGATGTTTGATCTGAATGGCGATGGGAAATTAGGTCTGTCTGAAATGGCGAGGTGAGAAATGATCTGATAAATAAAAATAAAAAAGTTACCAATCATTTTGTAAGACACATCTATCACAACCATTTTTTGTTTATTTAAGGCTTCTGCCGGTTCAGGAGAATTTCTTGTTGAAGTTTCAAGTAAGAGTGTATTTATACGTTACGTTTTTAGGCCTCATGAGCTTCTTAAGGTCAAATATTTTTGACACTGAAAGATGTTTTTATTGCCCAACAGGGCGTCAGGCTGACTGCTGAGCAGTTCAACGCCATCTTTGCATACTATGATAAGGTAATGTAAAGATAATGTAATGTCTTTTGCAGGGCTTTAGGGTATTGTATAGATTTGTATGCACTGCTGAAATGTTGCTGGAAATTTGATCTTCCCCTCCTTCGTGAGCGCCTTCTGAATGCAAAACAGCGTCCCTGTTCACCTGCACATGTAAATGAGCAGAAGCAACTGCACCTGTTTTTCTGCCCACACATTTCCGAATTGTGTCCAGATGCTTTTAAACCACATTAAATAATTTATCTGCTAGACTTATCTCTTACATAACAAGAGTTCGTAGAAATTCCTATCAATTAATCATCAGAACATGAATAATTTATCCAAATGCAGTTTTGGTTTCATAAATGGTGATTCTCTACACTGTTTGCACTGACTGTTAACATTGCTTTGATATATTCTATATAATATTTTAGTTCTAGAAAAAAAACACATTCCTGTATCTGAAGATGACTATTTCAAGTAAAACATACTGGTAAGTTATTATAATTATTTTTCTTAAACACTTAAGCATACAAAAAAAAAAAAATCCGAAAGTAGATTTTTTTTATCATGCACTCAAGTATATGCTAAACAGTTTCCTCAGCTCTAAAAATTTTGCTTTTAAAGACATAAAAAGCTTTGCATCATGTTGTAAATACTCGAAAATAATATTTCAGTCTTCCTACGTCAAAATTTCATGTTTAATTCAATGTTTTTGCTGCATCTTTGTTATTATAACCTTTATTTCACCAGGAAAAGAAGCACATTGAGATTAAAAATCTCTTTTACAAGAGGGTCCTGGCCAAGATTGACAGTAACAGCTCACGTGGGTGTAGCAAATAACATCCATCCATACATACACATATATAAGTTAAATTATATCCGTACATATCAATACATAACTAGTCAAAACATCTACAACCCAATGTTTCTGTTTCCAAATTATTTAAAATCTCTTTAAAAACGTCAAAAAATTGTCTTTATTTGTGATAGAAGCAAGCAATTTCTGAGGGAAAACTGTTTCACCACCTTTTTTTTTTGTCAGTGTACCGAAGTAATTTTCATTTAAGTAAACTAATCACATTAACAGCAGTAACCAAAACAAGTGAGAATACACCATACACAGGCTTAGAATACACTTTCTAAGTTATGCCTCAAAGCTCAAGATGAAGCTCACAGCAACTACAAACTAAGACAAAGATGCTTTAGTTTATCTTCCCTGGATCTCTTGTGAGGCAAGCGATGTTACCACTGAACCACCAATGCGCTCTGCCACTCAGCATATGCTAACATAATTAGAAAGGCCTTTAATGTCCTTGAGGCTCATTGTGAGCCTCATAAGTCTCAGAAAATTGAAAGCATAAAAGGGAAAAGGGGGGTGGTAGCTTAGAGGACAAGCAAAAATGTGCTTGAGTGGATGTTAAAGGGGTCATATGATGCCCATTTTCCACAAGTTGATATGATTCTTTAGGGTCTTAATGAAAAGTCTGTAACATAGTTTGGTTAAAATTTCTCAATGGTCACTTCTGTTACATACATAAGAGTAGAGGCTCACAGATTCATTCTTTACTTGCACAAAAACCTGAAAACATGCCAAGCATTCCTAACAGTAATTGTAAAGTAATATAATATGTAGTATGTCAGTATTTACAGCAATTAAACTGCAGGGCGCAACAACCGTAGGCAGAAGATCTGCTATATTAGAGCTGCAGTATAAAGACATCATCCATTATATCCCAAGACAGGTTTGTAAGAGGTGAGCCTTATATTTGGACTTCTTTAAACAGCGAGGGTTCACGCATGCCAAAAGTGCTGCGATGTGTGGCGCAACATTGTCTCCAAGTGGCCACTTATTATAATTGCACTAGTATGGCAATATGCATATTGCTTCACTCTAATGCAAGTGTTGGATCTCAGATCACTTGTAAATTCTCTGTTTTTAGAGCAAAATTGAGAACAACAAAGCTTGTGAAGACTGAAGAAATGTTTGGATCTATACCATGGAAATGCTATAGCCTATATAGTATACACATTTGGATAAAAGTCCCCTAGGGGAGCTGTAGTGAATACTGCCTATAGGACTAATAAAGATCATTTTATTTATGACATTTAATATTTTATTACTTTTAAAATAAGATACATTTGCACAACATTTAAGGTAGGTAAATACTTCAAATTAACCACAAAAGATGTACAATTATCTTTTTACATAATACCTCAACAACAAATCCAAACAGCCAGGACTACCATCCTCTTTCCTAAGTGTCTCCGCGCCGGGAAAATAAATACAAAAATAAATACTAAAGCCTTTGCTGGATGGCTGGTCTTAGCTGGTTTAAGTCAGTCAAGCTGGACTCCCAGCCTGGCCATGCTGGTGTTTTCTGGTTTTAGCTGGTTGGTGAGCTGATCTCACAGCCTGTCCAGCTAAAGAAATCAAAACCGTTCTAAAACCTGCCTGCTAAACCAACTATGACCAGGCTGGAAAAACAGGTAAAAATCAGCCAACCAGCTTTTTTGTTGCTTTTTTCCCCCAGCAGGGATATACAGACAAACCACTTCTTCAATCTAGTATTAATCTCATTAGACCAGTTGCTTGTCCAGTCCTCTAGCCCACGTCTCAGTCCCATTCACACCTGTCTCATTTACTGCACTACCTCTTGTCTCCAGCCGCTATGCAATACAACGTCCTTGGAGGCGCTATAAACAACACAAGCAGCTGACAAGCTCAAGTCGCCAGCTAGTGTGTGTTTGTCTTCCACCAAGTCATCTGCGCTTCCAGCAATGGCCCTGCTGAAATCCACCAAGATTTTGACTAGTCTCGGGGCTCAGGCCCCTGTTTTAGCAGTCCTACAACTCCGTGCAAGGTACCTTGAGACTTTATTTTTCTTATGTAAACACTGTTGCCAAGTTAGCTTGTGCTAGCAAGTTAGCGGACTGAGCATTAGAGCAGCACAGCACCGTTGAAAGTTACAGTCTTCCACTTTACTGTAACACATGAAATATTGCCCTTGTGCTTATAATGAAACATGGTTATAAATGCATGAATGCCTTGGATATTTAACGAGAGTTTTTATCTTTCAACAGCACTCACTTAAAGAGTTATTTAGTAAAATTTTGGCAGGAAAAGTTTTTGAATTTTTATCACGTTGATGTAAAAATAATCTTGTGTGATATAATTTGTGATTGTTTGTTTGTTTGTTTGTTTGCTGGTTTTTATTGTATTTGTTATACTTGAATTTTTTTATTGTTTCTGCCATGAAAATAGCATTTGATGCAGACATGGCATTATATATATATATATATATATATATATATATATATATATATATATACTTTATCTTTCAACAAGACATTTTAATACCATATGATGACGGTCAATGTCAGAAGTTATTCTATCATGAGACCAGCAGATTGACAAGATATATCAGGTTCAACTATGCCTAACTGGCTACCTTACTTAGGACTAATCTAGGTCTGATTCATGGTTCATAGATTTTTCTGTGTCAGTTTGGTGGTATTATAGCATGATTAGTGCGAGTTAAACAAAGCAGCCACCTTAGAAGGATTTTTATTTCTGTTACTGCTGTTTCTATTAGTGAAAGTATAAAGTTACATCAATAACCACTGTTGCTGCAGGTTGCCAGGCACCCTAGCTAGGGTACTTAAAACAATGTTTTTAACTTTTATTCATTCATTTAATTTATTTTTGTCTGCTAATTTTTATCTACTTGTTCAGTCATTTGTAATTTTCTCTTAACTTTTTGTCAGCTATCAGTACATTTAAATATTTTACTTCAAGAACATATTAATTCATAAATGTATTCATTTTATTTTATGTGCTTATTTTATTTAATTTGTTTTTATATCTGCTTATTTTAATATTTTTATCTACATTTCCTTTTTTATCTTTTTTTCTAACTTTTAATATATATATTATTATTTTTTATTTGTCCGTTTTGGGTTTACATAAATATATGTGACTGAAGTTATCTGTGACTTGAGCAGGAACATGATAAAAAGAACATGCTCTTGTAACGCCTCATTAAACCTACTTCTTCCAAACTGGCCAATCACTACAGCTCGTTCTCAGTCAGAAACATGCATGTCTACATAAAACCCCAAATGTATGGGGGTAAAATCGTTGCATAATTCCAAATAAATACGTTATGATCCACAAATAAATGTAAAGAGATTAACAAAAATAAAATATATTGATAAATAAATAGAATGAGATCCACAAATAAATCTTAGAGTTTCACAAACAAGAATTAAATTCACACAAAAAATAAAATGAGATTTGCAAATAAAAAACATATTCACAGATATATTTTTATGTCACAAACACAACTTTGCCTGGCATTCATTTGTGAATCGCTTCCTGTGCATTTGTAGATCGCTGCATGCATTTGTGGATAGCTCCCTGTGCATTTGTAAATCGTTGCGCTTATTTGTGGATTTTGAGACATTTCAAGCGTAAAGAGGCAAACCAATCCACAAATGGATGGACTCCACCCCACTTCTATTTAAGCCAATCAGATACCGGTCACGTGGCGCCAACCAATCGTAGCGTGTTCTTGCTCCAACCAATCACGTTTTGCCTTACAATCAGTGTGGGACCAGGCACCAAACACGCTATTCTGGCTAATTAACCGCTTCAAAATGGACGATCAGGACAGTTTAAGACAGGTAAGTGGTGTTAAATTAACAACAATGAGCAAAAATGTAACATGATTGTTGCTATGCTCATATTTATGGTGATGGCGAGGGGACCTGTTCGGTTCACTTAATTTTGTCGAGGTAATCCTTATGTCATGGCCACGAGATGCTATGTTGAAGGAACGACATACTTTTCTCGTGGCCGTGAGTTTAATGCGTAAACAAACCTGCATGACCATAGTAACCCGGGATTATCAGGGATGTATTTATTAATATTTTATTTTAAATTAAGAAATTATTATATTTTTTTTTCCTCTTCAATTCGATCACTTTACTCAACGTTCTATGATACTGTAAATGCTCGACATATGCTATATGACTGGGATTTTTACTGGAATGCAATTTAAAGTATGAATTTAACATATATTTTATTTTATTTCGTCTAATTAACAGACAAGCCTATATAAATAGTGTTTCACTGAGAAATGAATCATTCACGTTTCATTTCAATATGTCGTTCCTTCAACATAGCATCTCGTGGCCACGACATAAGGATTACCTCGACAAAATTAAGTGAACCGAACAGGTCCCCTCGCCATCACCATAAATATGAGCATAGCAACAACCATGTTAAATTTTTGCTCATTGTTGTTAATTTAACACCACTTACCTGTCTTAAACTGTCCTGATCGTCCATTTTGAAGTGGTTAATTAGCCAGAATAGCGTGTTTGGTGCCTGGTCCCACACTGATTGTAAGGCAAAACGTGATTGGTTGGAGCGAGAACACGCTACGATTGGTCGGCGCCACGTGACCGGTATCTGATTGGCTTAAATAGAAGTGGGGTGGAGTCCATCCATTTGTGGATTGGTTTGCCTCTTGACGCTTGAAATGTCTCAAAATCCACAAATAAGCGCAACGATTTACAAATGCACAGGGAGCTATCCACAAATGCATGCAGCGATCTACAAATGCACAGGAAGCGATTCACAAATGAATGCCAGGCAAAGTTGTGTTTGTGACATAAAAATATATCTGTGAATATGTTTTTTATTTGCAAATCATTTTATTTTTTTGCGTGAATTTAATTCTTGTTTGTGAAACTCTCTAAGATTTATTTGTGGATCTCATTCTATTTATTTATCAATACATTTAATTTTTGTTAATCTCTTTACATTTATTTGTGGATCATAATGTATTTATTTGGAATTATGCAACGATTCTACCCCCATACAAATGCTCCTTAAACATTACATTATTGTAATTAATTAATGTTTTGCATTTTGGGTTTTGCTTGTTGTTGAGGATAAAAAAAGTAGCAGTGTGTCTCAAATGCAAAAAAGTGAGAGGAGCAACTGTGCACGTAGTACTGTTTTTATTGTAGTTCTAGTTGCTGATCGGTACAAGGTGATTGACATTTAGAGCCAGGCTGAAATGGGTAGTGTGTGAGCATGACGCATGATTGGTTCTGATGCAGAGGGTGGAGTGCTGTACACCTCTTTTCATAGGAGTACTGCACTACTTTGTGTAGGTGGGGTTTAGATTGGAATTATACTCCCATTTTACATCGGTAATTACAGAGGTGACCTATTGTTTGCCTGTGCAAGCTAACAGATTCTTTATTTAGAAGGACGTGGCCATTCTGAAAGTGTGTGCCAGACATCCATTAGAACAAATACAGGCATGCAACGTGCTTAACAGTAGAGGAGATTTTAAACTCCAGGCTTGAGTTCAGACATGACTGTAAGTCTCTTTAATGGTGGTAGAGGAGTTTAGCAGTGCAATTCAAGCTTTTAATGACTTTCCTTCCGGTTTAAAGAACAGAAGCTCTGTAATGATAATCGCCTTAAACTTATCCAGCTTGGAGAAATTTTAATGAGACGTCATAAGAATGGGTGGATATTTCTCCAAATGTATACGCAAATTGGTTTTAGAGTCAGACAGTGTAAAGACAAGGTGGTCTATTTTTAAATATTATGGATGTTTGAACTTAAGTCTTCGGCACTGCTCCACATTCTTTGGCGTTCACACGAGTGTTTGACCTCAGTTACTTCCAGAAGCTTATGCAAGACTGAAAGTAAAATGTAACAACTTTTAAATATCAATTAGACTTTATATATCATAAAAAATATAATTTAACTTTTAAATATCAATTTCCTATGACAGTGTGCAGTCATAACTATTTGACTGGAGCAGCATACTTGCACTCAATAGTTAACGTAAATAAGTATTCTTTTTTTATTATTATTCTCAGCTCATGGTGGACTGAGGTACAGATGGGACCCCCTGATCCCATCCTGGGTGTCACAGAGGCGTTCAAGCGTGACACCAACCCCAAGAAGATGAACCTCGGAGTAGGAGCTTATAGAGACGATCAGGGCAAGCCGTTTGTTCTCAACTGTGTCCGAAAGGTGCCATCTTGCATATCTTACACATCTTCAAGTGATAGTGAAAATTCTGTTACATTTAATCACCCTCAAATTGTTCCAAACCTGTGTACATTTCTTTCAGCTGTTGAACACAAAAGAGAATATTTTGAAGATTGTTGGTAACCAAAAAGTTGATTGTAGCCATTGACTTCCATAGTCTGGGGAAAGAAATACAATGAAAGTCAATGGCTACAAGTGGAGGGTGAGCAAATGACAGAATTTTTGGTTGAACTATCTCTTTCAATATAATGTAACAATTGGCATACATTATGCTATTTTCTTGTTAGATTCCACTCTGGTTAAACTATTTTACCTTCTAAAACTCTTCTAAACTCTTTTTTTTGTTTTATAGCTGGCCTACGTTTAAAACAGCAATTGTCCATAATGCTATCCATTTCCAATCAGCCAAATAACGTTTTTAAATTCTAATCCCTGCACAAAACAAATGACAGATTTTTGGTATTGTCAGGCTGAGGCCCAGATTGCTGCTAAGAAGTTGGATAAAGAGTACCTTCCTATTGGAGGGTTGGCAGAATTTTCAAAGGCCTGTGCTCAGCTGGCTCTTGGACCTGATAATGCGGTCTTAAAGAGTGGAAGAGTAAGTACTTTAAAGCAAACCATTTTGAAAGGAAGTCTTTTGATTATTAAATTATTAGATGTGATTGTTAATTGCCAGATTTCTGTGCCCACAGAGCATCACCGTCCAGACTATCTCTGGAACTGGATCTCTACGTGTTGGTGCTAACTTTGTGGTATGACATTTTCATATCATTTTTGCTTCAACTTTGAGTTTGTAATGCTGTGTTAGGCCTGATTGCTTCATTTCGAGACTCTTTTTTTTTTTTTTTATAATACTTTTGAAATAATGTGATCACTGTTGACTCTATTGTTATGTCTGGTGGTTATTGATTGTAAGGGGGTTAAAATGTATCAAATGTAGTTCACCACAAGTAGTCATCTCTCTCTCCATCTCTCTCACTTTTACTTGGCTAGGCACGATTCCACAATGTGTCCCAGGATGTGTACCTGCCTAAACCATCCTGGGGTAACCACACCCCTATCTTCAGAGATGCAGGCATGCAGCTAAAGGCCTACTCCTACTATGACCCCAAAACTTGTGGCTTTGACTTTAAAGGAGCCTTGGATGATATTTCAGTAAGAAAAATGTTTTTATATCTATAATACTTTTGAAATAATGTGATCACTGTTGACTCTATTGTTATGTCTGGTGGTTATTGATTGTAAGGGGGTTCAAATGTATCAAATGTAGTTCACCACAAGTAGTCATCTCTCTCTCCATCTCTCTCACTTTTTCTTGGCTAGGCACGATTCCACAATGTGTCCCAGGATGTGTACCTGCCTAAACCATCCTGGGGTAACCACACCCCTATCTTCAGAGATGCAGGCATGCAGCTAAAGGCCTACTCCTACTATGACCCCAAAACTTGTGGCTTTGACTTTAAAGGAGCCTTGGATGATATTTCAGTAAGAAAAATGTTTTTATATCTTGTACTTTTTGGGGATAAACATTGTACATTTGTTGCATTTTAGCTTGTCTTTTCTTTTGATGCCCCTTTTCTCTGCATATTCAAGTACTAATAAAGTGTGTGGGGGATCCTACAAATGAAATAAGATATATGTATTTTTTTTAATAATAATCGCTTTCAGAAAATCCCTGAGAAGAGTGTGATTGTTCTGCACGCGTGCGCTCATAATCCCACAGGAGTGGACCCAAGGCCCGAGCAGTGGAAAGAGATGGCTGCTTTGATCAAGGTAACTGGATTTGGCATTAAATTAAAGTCCAAAATCCAGCTGACCGCAGGTCTCAGAAAAGATTCTCAGTGAAGTGACAGAGAGATAAAGTTGTGTTTGACCAGTTGGACCGATAAAAGAATGACTGTCCTCAGTCTCAAATGAATGACGATTTCAGTGATAATAAGTGTCTTCACTCTCATTTCAACAGAAAAGAAATCTCCTGGTGTTCTTTGACATGGCTTACCAGGGATTTGCCAGTGGCGACATTGATCGTGACGCCTGGGCTGTGCGTTATTTCATTGAGCAGGGGCACAACGTTCTTCTGTCCCAGTCTTTTGCTAAGAACATGGGCCTGTATGGTGAGAATCAAATATATTAAATATATAAAAATATATAAGGCTGCATTTATTGGATCAAAAATACAGTAAAAGCAGTAATTTTGTAGAAAGACATGGCCGACCGCATCATTAAGATGAGGGAGATGCTTGTGTCGAACCTGAAGAAGGAGGGCTCCACTCACAACTGGCAGCATGTTACTGACCAGATCGGGATGTTCTGCTTCACAGGGCTCAAACCGGAGCAGGCAAGTCAAGTGAAAGTGCATTCTGGGAATCTCTGATAAGGCCTCAGTTATTTTCACTATCAGCCTTTTCTCACTGGCTTTTCTCTGCTTGTCTTCTTTATGGCTGTTTGTCAGGTGGAGCGTCTGATTAAAGAATTCTCTATATACATGACAAAAGACGGCCGAATCTCTGTGGCTGGTGTGACTTCTGCAAACGTGGGATATCTAGCACATGCCATCCACGCTGTTACCAAGTGAAGCTGGCACTAGGGACTATAGTTGCAGCAGACAGAGAGCAAGAAAAAGTCATTTAGATTATTCAAAAGTCCTCTGCTGCATGTCTTTTAGGACCAGATTTGAAATAGGACTAATGTAGACTTCCAGTTCACTTGATTTGGTGTTAATTCATGACTCTGAATGTGAGCCCCTCAATGAATTAAGGCAGGATTCTTCCTTTCAAAATGATAAAAACAAACTTTAAAGAATATTGCTTATCATGATTTCCCTTGTCAGAGCTGATAAGAATGTTTTTGTTTTTTATGGTACAAAATGTTCCGATAGATCAGTTAACAACATTTAAAAATCATGTTTTTGTTTTTAGAACAATAACTCTAAATAAGAGTGATTGACTGATTACCCTATATGCTTTACGTTAGAGAAATCACTGAAAGGAGTAAACCAGATTTCATGGTTGGACATTAATTGCAAAAACCTTCAAGGACTGTAACCAGTTTATCATGGTCATTTCACCTAGAGGTGCATAAACTATTATACTAATCAAAATGATGATTTGGCACCAAAGGTCTTTAAGCAGTAACACATTCTTAGACATGTGTATGACTATAAGGCACTTATTCTGTACTGAGCTACTGAAAGCTTACTTCTAGTGATGAAGGATTGCCCATAGTGTTAGTGTCTAGTATTTCCCAAATGTTACACATAAATCATTCAATAAATTATTAGGCATAAACACAATTGTTTGTTTTATCCTGGCCATTAAACTGAATCTGTCACTGAATCTGTGGAAAATCGAGTTAAGATTCATTTTTGGGATGAAAACTGAACACATACTATAACTGATATTTCAGTGGTTAAGTGATGCTTTAAGAAAAGCTTTGCGTGTTTACTATGTGTGGATGCTGATTATGTGAATATGCAGTTTGTTCTGTTTTGAAAAACTTCATATATATGTATAACTAATTATTGTGTTCCTAAAGCAAATTGAGCGATTCATGAAATTTCTCCAGAACAGACATAGAAATGAAATGTCACGAGTGATAGCCTACAGTATGACTCTTTTTAAACAATGAACAAAAAAATAAGGTAACACTTTATTTCGATAGTCCACTTTAGACAGTAAGTAACTTTGTAACTACATGTCAACTAGCAGTTAGTAGAGTATTAGTAGACTGTCTGCTTAGTATCTTCTAACACTTTCTTTGTCAACTTATTCTACTAACCCTAAACCTACCCTAACAGTCTACTCTGAGAGTTAGTAGACATGTAATTGCAAATTAATGAGAATTAGTTGACATGTAGTTACAAAGTTACTTATAGTTAATCGAATGTCTAAAGTGGACTATCCAAATAAAGTGTAACCAAAAATAAAGGTGAGCTCAACGAAAAATCACGTGTTTAATTATTTTAATTTAAATCTTGTGTAAAAAAAAAAAAAAAAACATTTTGTGGGTCACAAGATCGTATTTTATAATAAAGTTACTTAAATGAAATATGGTAAAACTGAGTTTTTTTTCATTATTATTATTGCAGAACTTATGAATACATACGAGAGCAGGGAAATGAGACATGGTTATATCCCCTACAAAAAAATAAAAACAATCATAATAACAAAAACAGAACTAATCATTTGGGTTTGCGCACATCAAGTTATATGGCATTATCTACACATGGAAAGACTGAAAGAAAAGAAAAGCATTACAACCTATCTTTTTCTCTCATTTTAAATAGTCATAATGCATCAAAAAAATTCACTTTTTTGTTATTCATAAGTCTAAGCGATGAAACGATAGTCAAATTCAGCAAGAAAAAGGGGGAAAGACAGGCGATTTAAGCCATTTTTGTTTATGAATAAAGAATTTTGCATTCAATATAAGGAAATTAACAATATATACAACAGGTAATCGCTTTGGATTTTCATAATAAAAAATAACTGGTAAAGCGGAGCTTTGCGCAATGGAGACATCTGATTCGCTGATCACGTGACTCAAGACGAGACTGTCATCAAGCTGTTATCTAACTTGTATCGTCTCGGTCAGGATAGGAAATTGAACTCGTATTCTCGAATAAAGTGACAAAATGACTCATGCGTTTAAAAACTGTTCAAACCTAATGGTCACCGGAGCCAGTCGAGGTCTCGGGCTGCAGATAGTTGAGAGTCTGGTAACGGGAGGCTTCTCTCCCGGGAAGATTATTGCTACAGCTCGCAGTCCAGATGGAGCCAAGGTAATGCTTTGAGCAGACAGCAGTATTTGCATTAGGCATACTATACAAACATTAGAAACCAGCCCCAGATCATTTACACTCATATTAGCTGCAGGAGAATGTGCTCACGCGTAGTTGAGAATTACGATCAACATGCACTATCGTATTTTAAACATTAACATTTTAGATTGTTATTATTGGTCTATAATGATAGTGTACATATGATTTATCTTTTTAGTGATAAATTAATTTGTAAAAGAATAGATATTGCATGTGGTTTAATTAAAAGCCGCACGTGTGATAATTATAAAAGAAAAAAAAGATTAACCTGTCTGTTTTACAATAGGAATTGCAACGTTTGGCAGAAGAGCATCAAAACATAATTATAATTAAACTGGGTAAGTACTTAAGCACTATCTAGTATGGATCAGTAGCTCTTGACTAGTTTTGGGTCATGACCCTTTTTTTTTTTTTTTTGGTCATTAGGTGGCGAGCTAACACAACACACACTTTTTTTATTGTGCAAAAAATCCTTCAAGGGATGAATTAAAGGATTAATATTACCATGAAATTGACAGTTTTATAAATATATAAACAACAGGAAATGTATTTGCCTTAAACGTAATGTAAATAGGGAAGGGTCAGATTTTCTTTTTCCATACATTAGGGTGACCATATGTGAAATCCTGTCCAGGACGCGTCCTGGGAAAATGGCACGTATGGTCACCCTACCATACATTATTTTCTCAGTGGTTTAGTGCAGGGATCCTCAAATCTGGCCCACGAGATCCACTTTCCTGCAGAGTTTAGCTCTAACCCTAATCAAACACACCTGAGCATGCTAATCAATGTCTTCAGGATCATTAGAAAATCACAGGTAGGTGAGTTTGATCAGGGTTGGAGCTAAACTCTGCAGCGCATTGGCCCTCCAGGGCAAGATTTGAGGAACCCTGGTTTAGTGGACGAGGGCATGTTGCCTAGTTGTTCTCCCTTCCGTGGAGAGAAGATAAAAAAAACTCTTTGGGTGGTGACACCAGTTATTAACAGCAGATCTAAAAGAAGTTGTATTTGAAATTAGAGTTTGTTTTTACCTGACTCTGTTGTGTTAATCGTGGACATCTCTGTTACTAGATGTTACAAGTCAGGAGAGTATAGCGAGAGCTGCATCTGAGGTGGAACAGCTCATTCAAGAGGAGGGTCTCAACTGTCTCATCAACAATGCTGGAATTAATGTAGTTGCCAACCTTGAGACAGTCACTGCAGACAAGATGTTGGAAAACTTCCATACCAACTCTGTTGCCCCGTTGATGATCACCAAGGTTTCATTTTGCAAATTAAATCTACAAACAATATATGCACATATGTACGCTCATCACAGATGTCTAAACACTTACTGACTTACAGAACTTGTCATGCAGGCCATGCTCCCACTGCTGAAGCGAGCAGCTGCAAAAGAAATGGGGATGGGCATCCACAGAGCAGCAGTCATCAATATGACGTCTCTACTGGGTTCAGTTGAGCTCTACTGGGGTGATCGTGCCAACAGTTTCAAATGGTACCCCTACAGAACATCAAAGGTTTGTGATATTGTGTTCCTGGAGCTCAATGTCAAGATAAAAGTATCCCTGAGAAGGGACTAAGTAATATAAGTGTATACTCTGAAAGTCGATTTGGAAATGTTTATATTTATATATTTAATCCTTTTGTTGAAGCACCGTTTTCTATGGAAGCCCGTTTTCGCCACGGAAATAAAAAATATTTTTAAAAAAATGTATTGCGACTTTTTTCTCGCAATTTCTTACAAAAAAATTGCGAGATATAAACTCAGAATTGCTAAATGTTAACTCAAAACTGCAAAATATAAACTCAGTTCTGTGAAGTAAAGTCTGAACTACGAGATATAAACTCACATTTGAGAGAAAAATGTATTTATATCTTCATATCTTGCAATTCTCACTTTTTTCTCAGAATTATAAAAATCACAATTGCTTTTTTTTTTTATTCTGCGGCAAAAACAGGCTTTCATTGCATTGTATTGAAGGCTATAATAGTATGTCTGTGAATATATCAGTTGAGATATTGAGTTGCATTGGCTTTATATCAGAGTGCACTGAACATGGTCACCAGATGCTTGGCAGTGGACCTGGAGGCAGATGGGATCCTGTGTATGGCTCTGCATCCAGGCTGGGTACGCACTGATATGGGTGGACCTGAAGTGAGTCTCATTCTTCTATTTGTTCTTTATCACAGCTACCTGCTAACCAAACCGTTACAAAACATAAAACGAGTGATAGACTCTTAGGTAGGTTTGTTGATTGTTTTCTATTCAGGCACCATTGAGCCCTGAGGAAAGCATATCCTGTGTGTTGTCTGTGATTGGGGGTTTGACTGAAAAGGATCATGGGTCATTTCTTCACTATACTGGTGAACAGCTACCCTGGTGACGCTGCAGATGTTTTTTTAGATGCAAGCAATAGAAGCTTTATTATTGTTTTGCTGTATATATATTTATCAGTATGTTTCGTTAGGATATTGTAGATTTAATTTTAGGTTTTACAAGGGAAAGAGAAAAACTGAAGTCAATGAGTTTATGGTCAGATATGCTAACTTCGAGACCCTGGACACAAACATGGTCAATGCCAACAGAGCAGATTAAATCAAGGGTATAAGAATGAGAATGTGTAGGAAAATCAATGTGCTGTGATAAATCAAAATAATCTAGTATAGCCATAAAGTCCTTAGCAGATTTCAGTATAACAAATGGGAAATTATAAGATGAAGAACAATTGGTACAATTTCTGTGTAGGACATGGTTGGTGAGGCACTGCTCTCTCTGAAATACATGCCTACATCTCAGAGGCTGGAGGTGGGAGTGTTGAAGATCCGTACAGTATGTCATCCCAATAAGACTGAGAGAGGTGAGGAATATTTAAGTTTATACTTAGACATGAATGGAATTGTTAGAGTATTTGAAATAAACTACACTGTTAACTGTGCTGCAAAGAATAAAAATACTTTTTTTATTCTTTAACACTTATTTATATAAGGACAGAAATATTGGGACACACCTCTTAATTATTGAATTCAAGTGTTTCAATCAGACCAATTGCCACAGGTGTATAAAAAAAGAACCTAAGCATGCAGTCTGCATTTGCAACCACAACATGTGTCATTATTGAAAGCTTCAGTGAATTCAAGTATGGTACTGTGGTAGGATGCCATTTTTGCAATAAGTCAGTTTGTGAAATGTCATCCCTGCTAGATATTACACAGTCAACCTTAAGTGGTTTTATTGGAAAGTGGAAGTGTTTAGGAACGGCAGCAACTCGTAACTCAGACCACGTAAAGTCACAGAACGGGGTCACTGAGTGCTGAGGTGCATGGTGCGTAAAAGTCACCAACACTCAGCTGATTCCATAGCTGAAGAGTTCCAAACTTCAACTGACATTAAAACCAGCACACAAACTGTGCGGCAGGAGCTGGGAGCAGCCTCACATCACCAAGTGCAATGCCAAGCAGACTGGTGTAATGCATGCCACCACTGGACTCTGGAGCAGTGGAAAGTAAACATGTTCTGTGACAAAACCCAACTCTGTTTGGCTATATGGTTGTGTGTGTGTGTGTGTGTGTGTGTGTGTATATATATATATATATATATATATATATATTAGTTTGAGATTTATTTTTCTAAAGCTTTAATTATTTTTTATTAGTTTGAGATTTTTATTTCTATAGCTTTAATTCATTTGTAAACTTTGGTTTTACAACTTAAACTTATTGCAGTTATTTGCAAAGCCTACATTTCTATTTTGTTTCAGTTTTTAAGTTTAGTTTTTTCATCTAATATGTATATTTTACTTTCATTTCAGCTTTATTTCAATTACCTGAAACAATTTTAATAGTTTTAGTTAACAATAATAAGACTGATACAGCAATGATTACACGGAGCTTTTCAGATGCAGCACAATTGTGTGATATTGCTTACCAACAGTTCACCAACAAGAAGTTACTATTGAGTAACTTACATCTTTGACAAAGCATTTCCAGTATATCTATTTTTGCTGTGTTAATCGAAAATAATTCCAAACAAATTTACAGCAGAACCGTTGCAGCGCCCGGTAGTGGCGCTGAAATGACTCATGGCCAGTGTCTCCACCTACTAAAATTACATTTTAAATTATTTTTAAAGCGTTTGTTGATTGTACTCACAGCTCTCTATGCCAGAACCAGCGTTACCTGCAACCACTGCAAACTTCGATATCAGAGGACAACACAGAAGAAGCGCTGGGAGGTGACTGTGTTCAATGAGGTCCTGACCTTTGTGTTGCCAGATCAACAGATTAGAGAGTGCACCATTATAGTGTCTGTTTATGAAATTCAGACTTCAAAGAAGTCTTCCAAGCATTTGATTGGTCATATCCACATCAAAAAGGGCAAGACCTCCGAGGACGAGCACTGGAAATTGATGATGCAATCACTACGACAGCCAATTGCTAAGTGGAATTCAATCTTTATCTGAAGACACCTGGGCTGTATCCGAAATCTCCACCTATACCCTCATTCACTATTCCCTACATTAGTCCACTCATACAGTTCACTTGAAGGAGTGAATGAAAACGAGTGAGTTGCCTTGTCCAAATACCCGCACTTGTGGTCTTTGCACTTGACCACTTGACTACTTATATGACGTATTTCCTGTATTTGGTCCAAGTGAGCATGAAGACCACAAGTGTGTGTATAACTTTTTATTGCCTGATAGGACACACTTATAGTGTTGTAAAAATGCAAGTGTTTACAGAGCTTTATTTTTATTTTCAATACTTTGTATTTTAAAATCAACTTCTAAATGTCTGTTCAGTGTCTCTATAACAGATGACAATTAAATGTTGTGGCGCTTCTAATTAAGTGACAAAAAGCAGTTGCAAATGTTGTACAAAATAAATATCACCACTACTCATTTGTACCAATAAAATGTGCCATCCTTTGTTTTAGTACCAAATTATATGTAATATCTAATTATCATTCATATTTAACAGACATTGGAAATGTTTCCGTGACCTCTCTCGAGATCTCTGCAAAAAGTCTCACGATTTATTTCCAGAACATAATGCATGATGGGATGCACTAAGATAGTGGATTTAGTGTGCGTTAAGGGCCCTGCGCTCTGGCGTTTTTAAGACCTGGGACAGTCTTGCGCACTTACTTCCTGTCGAGCGCACACGCTCTCAAGTGGCTAAGACAGCAAGTGTGAGAATTTGGACAAGGCAAGTGAATTCGGACACTGAGTGCACCGGAAGGACTGCTGCTTTTGCATAGTTTGCTTTGCTGTTTAATAAAAATTTTAAACGGGCAGCTTCAGTATTAAGATTAAAAGATTTATCTTGAACTCTGTCACGGAAATTATGTATAAACCCTAGTTAAACAATTTAATAGTGAATTTACAATTATACATTGTACACAGAACATCAGATCAGGAACATTTTTGCCACAGTGTCATCTCAAATAATGAACTGTTTTTAATAGCATCATGTGGTGGAAATTACATTTAAACATTTTTGGAATGTAGTGGCTGACTGTTTTGTCTTGCTAAGGTTAATTTCATTGCTGGCATTAAAAGTATTCTAAATTCAATGAAATGTCTGTACATTATTTGCTTAATTTAGAGATGTTTGGAAATGATGCACAATAAAATATGTAATTCAAAAGTGATTTTTTTCAAACCACATGGTGTCTCGTTTAATCTCATGCTCTTCACTCCCACTGCTTTTTGGTGTTTAAAAACCTACAAGTATGAACTTTAAAAAAAAAGCTTTTCTAGGGATTGTTGTGAAAATGTCAATGCCAATGAATGTATGTACACACACACACACACGGAAATCAGTCCTTCTTGAAAAGTGGGACAAAACAGGGTGCAAAATTGAAAAAATAAAACTTTGTACTCAGACAAATGAAACTACATTTGTGTATCTTATATGTACTAAGCTACTGAGCTATGCTTTGATACAACCTCCCAACTTTTCTCTTTTTTAACAAAATGTGCTTTTTTTACCTTGGACTGTGTAATATAATTTCAACTTTATCTTTAACAGCATTCAAGATGTTTTTAACATTTCAAAACACATTCTCGTGTTAGCAGACATATTACACTTTCACATGTGACCAGCAATTCCACAACAAATATAAAATATCATAATATTCAACTGACGGAGGTGACAGAACTGACGGAGGTGACGAAAACCTGAATTTGTAGTCATTTTAACTATCAAAAACATTGAATCAGTCAATTACTGTATTAAAACAAACAGTATGTTATTGTTTATAAAGCTTTTATTCAAGAGTCACATTGAAGTATTTTGATATATCATTGGAACACAAAATCTTATGGTGGTGACATCTGACGGTGTTGACAAATTTGGCATTTATTTCACAAAACCAATGGAGTTCATGTAGTAGCCATTTTATTTTTTTCTGTTGATGCTAGATGCTAATGGAACCTGCTTCAGGAGAATAAAATGATCTAAATATTTCAAATTTCCTCAGAAATTGGAAGATGGCGTTGACATATCATGGTTGTGATACAGGAAATATTAACATTAGGATTTAAAATATTCTAAAACCATAAAACTTAGCATAGCCTGTCTGACACTGCTGTACTCTGCAGGGGTGAACTGTGTGGCAAGGGGATCCTTTAGAGTGAAAGCTGCCCCTGATATTCCCTGATTTTATTATACAAACCCGATTCATTCCCCCAACCCAGCATTGGGGGAATTGGTGATCCTCTGCCCATCTTGACTTCTGAGAGACACTGCCACTCTGAGAGGCTCTTTTTATACCCAGTCATGTTGCCAATTGACCTAATAAGTTGCAAATTGGTCCTCCAGCTGTTCCTTATATGTACATTTAACTTTTCCGGCCTCTTATTGCTACCTGTCCCAACTTTTTTGGAATGTGTAGCTCTCATGAAATCCAAAATGAGCCAATATTTGGCATGACATTTCAAAATGTCTCACTTTCAACATTTGATATGTTATCTATATTCTATTGTGAATAAAATATAAGTTTATGAGATTTGTAAATTATTCCATTCCTTTTTTACTCACAATTTGTACAGTGTCCCAACTTTTTTGGAATTGGGTTTGTATTTTATTGAATGTCTGACGGTGTTGACAAAAAGTGGGGACGCAACTTTAAAATCTTATTAAAAATGCATGTGTCATTAAAAAACAACCTTGCTTTGATAGGAGATATTATTAAGTGTTGCTTTTGATAAAACAAGCTTTTTTCATTAAAAAAACATTTTTATCCATTTTATTGCATATGAATGATTGAACGCTTCTCTGTGGACACACTGTTTTAGATGTAGTGAGAGGACATTAAGAAACATAGATTTGGTATAATAATGAAAAAATTTAATTGAAGGTAATAATTGTGTGAAATACATTCTATTATTAATCCCTCATGACATTTAAAATTGAAAATATTTGTATTTTTAAACCTAATAACAGTTACCCTTGCTGGACCTGTTTTGTCCCATGTTTCAAGAATGACTGAAAATATACTCGTTTATTCGTTATGAATGAATCCTCATTGATGTGTTTACAAGCAAATTTCAATCAGATGTATTATGTTTTCGAATGACAAGCTACTAACTGTAACCACAAGATGGCTCTCTAACACTATGAGAATAATTCATCTTTTGTTTTCAACGTCAGTCATGTTGTTGTTGTTTTAGAGTACATTATAGAGTTCATTCATAGGCTTAATAATATCCTCATACTAATGCCCCACCACAATTCTAATAGATCAGGAGAAGAGTTTGACCAATTGAAATACACATCAGCACTTCCATATAAATGTGATTCAGCAAGCCTGCAATGCATATTTAAATATTTAAATGGAAGTAAACTGACAGCATTTTGGATTGGACAAAACAAGCATGTGATACCATTTCTTTCCCCTCATCTATATCCGCACTGAATGTGTCTATAATGAAGGATGTCTCACAGATGGATTTGAGCTGCAAAAGTTGCAAGCATCACCCATCAGTTCCAGCCCACTGAAGCACTGGCTCACTGCTAAAACTGCAAAGCTAGACTCAGCACTCGAGGAGGCTGCATCACCAGCGTGATGCTAGGATAATTTGGAAGGAGAACAGACCACCACTACCATTAACAGATGAGCGTCTCAGTGGTACATTATTTAGTTTTGGCCTGCTTCCAGATTGTTTGTTTGAAGTAACTCCCGAGCCACTGGTCCAGGCTTCTTATAGCCAAGTAGAAAGTGAATTAAGGCAAACATCACGACTTTGACTCATAATGAGCGGGGCTGAACAGATGTTACGGCACCTCCGCTGCTCAAGGCCATTCCCAGGGATTACATCTCTCTCTTCAAGACTGTTTGGAAAACTGTTCCTCCTACAGTCTGTTAATCAAAGTCACGATGGGATTTGGGGGGAAGGGTGAGCATGAGAAGTCTGGGGCCTTGGAAGGGAGGAATGCATTCCCTTTTTTCTCGCTTTTGTTTAAAACCACAATATTACTTATATAATCTTACAAGAACCCTTCAGGGTTTATAAATATAATGGACATTATACCTCACTGAAACGTTTACGTCAAAATTGTACTTCACCCTTTTGGTATCTGTATCCTTATAAGGGTAGAATGTTAGCACTTAGCACGGTCTTTAATGTCACTATGTTGCAAGCCAAATTAAAATAGACTTCTATGTCAGAAGAAGTGGGTATTTTTTATTTTATTAATTTTTTTATTTAATTTAATTTATTTATTAATTTTGGTATCTGAATCATTATCAGGGGAGAGTAATAGCACCAATAAAAGTTCATTATTATTTAAGTCTTAGGTTAATGCACGGCCCTTCAAAAGTTTGGGGTCAGGCAAGATTTAAAATTAATACTTTTATTCAATTTTATTCAGAAACATTGCCAAGTTACGAAACATGATACCGGTTTCTGATGCAGTTGGTTCCTTGCCGCTGTCGCCTCTGGCTTGCTTAGTTGGGGACACTTCATTTCCAGCGTTATCGTTGACATGATTGCAAAGATATTATTTAAACTGAGCTGGATGTTGACATCACTGAATTCAATGATGAACTGTCTTTAACTGAAAAATTTGTGTTTACTATTGTCATTTTGCATTATTGACACTATTTTCCTAATTAATGCTGTTCAGTTGCTTTGTCACAATCTGTATTGTTAAAAGCGCTATATAAATAAAGGTGACTTGACTTGACTTGACTATTCAGCAAGGATGAATTATTTTGATCAAAAGTGACAAAAAAAAACATTTATACAAAAGATATCTGTTTAAAATAAATGCTGTTTTGAACTATATATTCATTCAAGAATTCTGGAAATGAATCATGGTTTCCACAAAAATGTTTAACATTGATAATTATAAGAAATGTTTCTTGAGCACCAAATCAGCATATTTGAATGATTTCTGAATGATCATGTGACACTGAAGACTGCAGTAATTCCATCACAGGAATAAATTACATTATAAATATATTAAAATAGAAAAAAGTTCTTTTAAATTATAATAATTTTACTGTTTTTACTGTATTTTGATCAAATAAGTGCATACTTGGTAAGCTTTTAAGTCTTTCAAGACCCCAAACAATTGAATGACATTGTACACACACAAAAAACAGCACATGTACTATGATTTGTGATGCACTCATTTTAATAAACCCTGTTACTTTTGCTTCATCTCTGACAGGGTGGGATGGGATTGAACTATTTAGCACTGAAGATTTAGGACAAACTGCAGCCACAGGATTCATAACTAGAATTCCTCCGTCTAAAAAAGTAGCCCAACCTAAAAAAAAGATTATTTAGACAACTGCTAAAATAACTAAGACATATATTCATATTTATTTGAAATAGCTTTGACTATCTCTGTCCCATATGCTTTCATTGTAAGTGCATCACGGTTAATGCATTTCCCTCATTTTTTCTTTCTTTTCTTTTACAAATGAAAAAGATGAGTTGATGCTGGCTCTAGAGCTTAATGTGCATTTAACTGTATTTTCAGTCATAATGAGCTGCAAAGTATGTTATTTTTACTGTAAAAGTCTAACTGAAATTGTAAGGACTAATTATAATTAATAATTAAATTACTTTCAATAGCAGTCTAAAGGAAAGTAAAAATGTCTCAAAATAACACTTAGTCCACCCAAAAATGAAAATTCTGTCATTCATTTTGTGTCATTCCCAGGATGTATAGATTTCTTTCTTCTGTGAAACACAAAAGAAGATATTTGGAAGCATGTTGGTTCCTATCGAAATTCCATTGTATTCTTTTTCAATAAACTGACACCGAAACTTCATGTTTATTAATATTAATCAAAATATCTCCTTTTATGTTCCACAGAGGGAAAAAAAGTCTTCAACTTGAAGGTGAGGTAATGATGACAATTCTCATTTTTGCTTCCTTTTAAGTAAAGTATATTGCGTTTTGTATTTTGACTGAACCCCTTAAGAAAGAATCAACGGTTTCAGATGAGGATACAATGGTCTATGTAAAAAACAATTCCTAATACTGGGAATTACATTAAACCCAAGATTACTGAGGTCACCCAACTTGAAAAGCATTCTGTAGGAGTTGAACATGTACATATATTTATTGATTATATGTATGGCTCTGTATGTGCTCAGAGTACAGGATATGCCCTGATATGTGTATGTGGAGGATATTTTCAGGCTGTGCGTATATGGGTCTTATGACATGAGCGATGCTCCCATAGCTGTTCCAGACCACTGCTGTTACTGCAGTAACACATGATATGTAGAGTTGGCTCACACACTGCTTATGCAATACTAATGAATCAGCCCAGGGCATAATGGAGACTGTTGCACTATTGAGAAGATAATTACTCTTGTTGTCATTGTTGTTTTTGTTGTTACAGAACTTGATTTCTGTTGATGTGTTACTATGTGTTATGTACTGGGTGTGTCTACAAATATATGTGTACATTATACAGCACGAATAGATCTATTAACAACATTGACGTCTTTTTTTTGTATTGTATTGTATTGGGCGTACCATTCATTCTATCATTATATTTGTAGATTGTGTACATTGACGTGTACAAATAAACGGAATATTGAAAACTGGGGCACTTAATTTGACATAAAAACCTATATTTCAGTTTCACTTGGCAATTATTAATAAGTTAAAAAACAGTTAGAATTAGCCTGTTTTCCTTTCCTATTCTGTGTCTAATGTCACTTTGTTGCAAGCCAAATTGAAACTGACTTTTATGTCAGAAGTGCTTTGGTCTATAATTTTTTTAATAGCTTTTTGTGTGTGTGAGCTCCAAAGTGCTCCAAAATCAATTTCTTCACAAATACAAACAGACCTTTGGACAGCAACTAAATCAGGATGTCATGACCTAAAACTGGAATAGTGACTAAAAGTGAAATTTAGAGAAAATCAAACAGAGGCCGATCGTGCATTTTATTTTATTCTTTTATTTTATTGTATATTCTCACAGATTTCTCTCTTTATAGCTTAAATAGGAGTAAAACCAACCATAAACATAAACAATAGTGGCTGAATTCTGGGCAGATTAAAAAGATCTCAGTTGATCTGAGGCATTCAGACATCAAGAAACATTCTTTAAAGACCAACAGGCTTCACACTGCAGGAAATCCAAACAAAGCAGGAACAGGAATTCTGTTTTTCAGCCTGTCAGATTCCATTCTCTGTCACACAACATTCTACACAATCCCAAAAACCTGTGAAGTGGAAACTTAACTGTAAACCCAAGAGAATTAGACAAGATGTGAAACAAACTCAACTGATTATCTTGCAGTGAACTAGGCTATAGCTATTCTTGTCCTCAGATTACACATTCACTGACCACCCACAGTCAGTTCACTGACGCTGATGCATATTACACACAAACTGGAAAGTACTTGCTTGATCTGGCAAGCTCTAATCTGATTGGCTGACTCTGTGTCAACTTCTGAAATAAGGGCATATCTGTTTTATTATTATTATTATTATTAGGCTGCCTGGACATAAAGCTGTGGAATGGATTTATGTAATGAGCTCTACAACACTGCCATAGACAAGTAAAGGAAATGCAACACAAAAATATTATTTTACTAGGCTATAACACATAAATTAGATCGTAACATTTGCCTATCCTCAACCTAAGTTCCAATCTTCACCACATTGTTAACCAGCAAAAGTCAGAACATCTTGTAAATGACAAAAAGTTTAACTTGTGTCTTAAAAACACGCAAAAAGGCTGAATAAGCAGCAAGACAACAGTTCAAAAAAACTTTTTTTTTTTTTTTTTTGTAAACCGGCTTTAACATATCTCAATTTTCTCATTTTTCTAATTCTAATATTTTTAAATAACTCGCGAGTATTATGTAAAGTATAATGGGAACTGGAAATCGTGTTGTCTCAATTCAAATGAACTAAACTTGTGTTTGAAATCGGTCGCTCCCATTGTAGTTGCAACAAACATTCACAAAACTATGCTCGATTAACTCATTTTAACTAAGTAAATCCAACAAGCTGGGGAAAAAATCTCTGTTTTTCACTGTTCGTGCCACTGTTTTGATTTCCAATTACATTCAGAGTTTTGTGAGTGTGTTTGCCTGTCTGTCCTGCTCTCCATTATCTTTACCCTGCTGAACTACAGCCAGACCTTTCAATTTGGCATCTGTTAGAGAGACAAAGAGTAGAGCCAAAAACCTCCCTCCTCCCACACATCAAATAAAAAAGAAAAAAGATATATATAAAAAAAAACAGCAGTTCCAAGTCAAGGACACCTTACTGGCACGACACTCACGAATCCACTCTCATTACTTTATAACTGCAAAAGATTACGTATTGTCATTAGGAATTGTTTTTACCAATAGCAACCTTATAGCATATCAGTGTTCAGTTTTACAGTCATGAAAGGACAAAAAGGAGAGGGTCAAATGAAATTTTTAACCCTAAAAATAGACATTGTTCTATATTTTAAGATTCGAGAATCATGCATCTTTGAACTTTTATAGGAGAGGATGCTGAAGCCTTATTTAAGGTGTTTCAACTGTCCCTTTGTTCCAACTGTACAGTACATGGTGTAGACTACCCTACAGCACTGTTTTGGAAACAAAACATTTCCTGCCCTTTACAGTGCCCTTTGTTTTGTGTCACCATTTCTTTATTATGCGTTGGCATGTGTACCAGTCAAACCGGTTAAAAGTCAGACTTCAAATTCCTGTCATAGAATTCATTCAGAACTTTGATACTTGAGATATATTTCAATGAACTTTGACGAGTGAAAGAGTTGTCATCATAGGGCAAAACATAACTGCATTACTCATTATTACGTGATTTATGGGTTTGGAGGTTTACAGTCACTCTTCAAAAATGGAACTGAATTCTGTTCCTGTGATTTCATCTTTCTGACTGTAGAGCAACACCTGTTGAAGTGCAAGGACTGGCTGTCTGAATCTCTGCAGAGAATCTTCTAGAAATGTGCTGCCATTATGTATGTTACAATTGATTTTAGGTCATTACTTTTAGAAAACGCAACTTGCCTGAATCTGCTTTATGGTCGAAAGCTGAATTACATGCCATTGTAAATGAGTGTATCTGGATAACAATGTTCTTCCATTCCCTTTCAGTTTGCAGTTTTATATTTTTGTCATCTATTATTAAACTCATCTTCACATTTATAATTATCATCACTGAATTAAGATTTGGAACATGATCATAACCCTGGCATCATAAAATTTGACACGGACTGAACTGACTGAAAAAAAGAAAAGGGCATATTGAGACAAAATAATCTTGCAACCCTTTATTCACATATGCAAAGCATGAATTAGTACATTACAAACGGTTGAATTCTATTCTTATAAGGAGAAGTGTAAATCATGTTTCTTTTTCTATTCCTCATTTTTTATATTTATACATTTAATGTGTTTATAGAGAAAAAGCATCAGAGGCTTTATATTGATGTTAACAGATGGTTAAGTTAGGTTTAGACAGCTGATTTTAAAATACAAAGGAATTATATTCAATTATTTTTGTTTTTTTACATTCAACATTATACTTTCACTTTTCCTGTTTACTGATGTTGCAAAAATTCATTAAGATTCATAGAGACCAGTTATATATATATATATATATATATTATTTTATATGATTTAAGATATGTGTGATGTGTGGTGTGAAAACAGACATAAATTGATCACCAGTGTGGTACAGTAAAAAAAAGGGGGCCCAAGAGATCCACTTACATTATTTCAGTAAAGACACATAACACTTTCTTATTAAGAAATATACATCTTCCATTACAGAAAAATAATAGTAAAGTTACATTTACAAGTACTAAAAATGTTTCACAGAACTGTTTCAGAAAGTGCCTTTGACATTACTGTTGCAAGACTGCCTTAATACAATTGTATCACTATACCTACATTTCAAACATATGAAAAAATAAACATTACTTTACCGTAATTTAAGGTTATATAAAGTAAAATGCAAAACTAAATGCATTAAGTAAATATTGTTCATTTGTAAAACAATTTTATAGCATTTTTAAAAAAAAAAAACAGAAAAGGAGAATAAACATTCATAAACATTCACTGCGAAATTGTAATTGGACCAACTGTTATACAAAAGGCTGTTATTTTAGGAACAGATTGATATAAAGTTTTATATGAATGTCTAACAGTTATCAATTCAGTCTCAAATCATATACAGGCGGGTGATCTCATACTTATCAAATTCTTATAAAATAAACAAGCACCTCTAACAAGAGGTGAATGATATCACTATGGTCAAAACCATAAAGTTTTCCACTGTTAAGACAGATATTTCATACCATCTCTCTCCTAAGGAGCACGCAGATGGTGCAGTCCCACAGGTATTTCACTTCACATCATGCGGATCTACTAGAAAATCAAATACGACATGATCTACTAGAAGTAGAAAAGAGGTAACTCATCCAGTAAAAAGAACATCCCCCCCCCCCCCCCCCCCCCCCCCATAAAATGGAAATGGAGAACTTGGAAACACAATACTGAATCATCAGAACCACAGTGGCAACACAGTTTGGTCTGCTGTACCAATTTCTGGTAACAGGCCCAGTTTTTGAACCCTACTCTTTCACTGCCATCTTCTATCACCGGTTATATAGATAACACTACAGCAGATGACTAGGTGATAAGAAACACCACAAGGTTTAAGGTAGTATGAAGAACTTTCTGCCACACCATTCTTTGACTTATGAATCAAACTGCAGCTGCATAAGATATTTTGCACTCCTAAGCTCTGACCTACAATCTTTTTTTTTCTTGTTTTTTTTTTTTTGGCACGTGACCTTGTTATTCTCCACAATTTTTCTCCAACTTTCCAGAAGCTCAGGCTGGTGTGTTAAATGTGAGAAGCTTAAACTTGTAAACACTGAGAAGCAGCATATGTGGACACTCAATGCACAGAGCCTTTTTTAAATATATCCGTTGCATTGATTTTGGTCCATGCAGCACGGTTGAATCACTACAGATGCAGAGCATCCTCTTTCAAGCACATTCGAAATTTGCTCCGCTCTTTTCTTGACACCATATGAGCGGTTGTTCCCTCTTCCTTCTGTCGGTTGGGAATTTATGCATGTTTCCTTTAAACCATGAGCTTCTTTTTCAGCTCAAAGTATGCATCAAATCTGGCCATGGCATACTCCTATAAAGAATAAGACAAAATAATTAAAGAATTAACAATTAGCATTTTTAAAAGATATATATTAATAATAGATCAGTTCTACAAGGTATATGCACATTATTTGGACTATCTTGGGTGTCACTGTCCTTTTGTTTTATCTTGTATCTTGTCCTTGAACACGTTTTATTTTTCTAAGATTGTTATTTAAGACACTCACTGTAGATTATTCATTGTTTTCAATTTCAAACTTCATTAAAAAAAATTTAAATACACAAATTAAACATTTTATATCAGAAACATTACTGTGGCACACACTCAGTAGGTTTACAGTCATGTTACCCTGACCTCAAGTATTTGTGTACTGTCCAAAGGGTTGTGAGGCAGCGCAGATATTGCAAAGGTCGTATCTTTAAGTATCTGATTGTCGTTGATAAAATTCTTGTCTTACCTAAGAGCTGCACCGAGTACAATGGAATAACCCAGTAATAACTCAACATTAGCAATAACAACTGCACACACAAATATTTGACAGTTTTCTTGCAATAACTCACCATATACCCAAATTCAATAGTTGATATTTTGGCCTGGATTATGGACCACAATCCCCAGAAGAAATGGGAGGCCAGAGCAAACCTAAATGAGAGAGCACTGAGTTCACAAAGTACAGATGGAAAGAACGTTTGTGAAGTCTCTGGAAATGTGAATCACTGCTGGACTTGGTCCAAATGTCTTTTTATATCCATTATAGTAGTATAGTACGAGACCCAACATGGATAACCTCGTTATTTTTTCTGTTTTGATTGTATGGGCCTCATTTCCAAATCAACAAGCTTAAGAAAATGTTACATAATCATCTATAAAATTACAATTTGATGGCAAAATGTGTGTAAAACGGCCTAAGATAGATCTGAAGTAAGTATATCACCTGTTAACCTCCACTAGCATATCCTCTTTGAGTTTCAGCTGGTCCTCCTCACTCAAGTTTTCAAATCCAGCATGAGATTCCAACAGATAACTCTGAAAGAAATGCATCTGAGAAAACAAAACAAAATGTAATGCCATTTTTCTGGTTAATAGATTTAAGAGGAGAAAAAAAAGTACCAAACAAACCTGCTGTGCTTTGGTAGGGTAATTTTTGGTGTTCGTGGTGAAAAATGGAAACTTGTCATAGGTATAGTCATAAGTCCACTCACAGAAGAAATTTCCAAAGTCAAATCCTCTGTGGGAGAAAGAAAGGAGATCAGCACCCCATCAACAACATTTGTTAATGTGATAATAATGCATAATGAGTCTTGATCCTTTAGAAATCATTGGTAATTGTGGAGGAGGTTTTGTTTGGTTGACTCCCACATTCATGAGAATATTATAACATTTGGTTTATATAATTATATACATATATATATATATATAACAATTTATATATAATAAATGTATTACCGACTACAAATGCCAAACATTGGTATGCTGATCCAACAACTTTGCACAAAATAATATTTAAAATTCCATTTTTTAAATTCCTGGTCTAAAATATTGTGAACTGAAGTGCAAGTGCAGCATTAACTGAAATTGTCCTATTGCTGTTTGGGAAGATTATAAATTCCTAGTCTGTCATGAAACTCTAGAAACTCTACTCTAGATAGCAATGCAGTCATGTATTACATGGCACAAGCTGATTGGCTGATTCTGCAGCCAATCAGATTGCTTGCTCAACAAGCAATAAGTTGGTCCTGCACTGTGCAATTGGAGTTCGTCTTATACCCTTGACCTCCCCTAGCGCCACCGGTCTAAATCTGTTACAGGATTTATGTATGCCTAATAATGCAGCAGCAAGATAACTTACAGGCTCACAACAGTGTATCTGTATATCTATTAGCAGTAGCAAATCCATACTGGCTCTGCAGCAGTAGAGCGTGTAGCAGATCTAGTCCACTAAGACCAAAATATACTAACATTGTCATATCTATTAACATGCTAAAACAACTTCCAAGAGTTGCCACGGTTGAAATTATATTGTGAGCCAGGTCACTAGGTTTCTACCAGTTTTGAGCCAAACCACAAAAAAAAGAGAAAACATGACTCTTACTTTACGCAAACTGAAAGAAGAGGCTCACAGCTGCTGTGGAAACTGAACAAAGCACACATCTCTGTGGCTGGGAAACCCGGCTTCATTTCCTACCACTTTGCTGGACAAGCACTGTCAATGGACCTAAACACGGGTCACTTACGCCCTGGGAGACTACACTGGATGGCAGGATGGAAAACAAACAAAGCATGCCTTGACCCTTGTCGCCCATCACTGGATCAGTGATCTTGCCAATACAGGACCCCCTTCTAACAAAACCAGGCTCCTAAAAGAACGTGCTACAGTTTGGAGCTTATTTGCCCGAGGATCCTCTGTGAGACCTGTGTTTGAGCACGTGCAAGAATGCGAGTACCCTAGCAACAGTGTGGGATCAATGCCAGAGCCTTCAACGTCTAGAGGTTTTTTTCTTAGAAATGGGGCACCCAAACTTAAGTGTTCCAAACTTATCAGAAACAACTACGTGGTCTTGAATAACAAAGAGAAACAGACAGTTCTTTAATTCAGCTCCAAAGATGTGGGAGGTAAAAGATCAAAACTTAATTCCCATCAAACATCTGGTTGTTAACAAAACCAGGCTGTTTTCTTGGAATTTAGCTGCATATGCTTTTTCTGAATCGTGTGGAATGAATGTGACTATGAATATTACGGACCTGTAGCTGTAGCTGCTGTACTCAAAGTCAATCAACATGAGCCTCTGTCTGTCTGTGTTCTCACGGCCACTCAGGAGCAAGATGTTTCCTGTTTAAAACAAGGCAGCACTTTTAAAACATTTGATTAAACAATGGTAGACCTTTGTTAGAAACAATAATGAAATACAGACAGTCATAGTAAACCCATGTCTAACCTTCTTGCAAGTCATTGTGGCAGAAAACAACAGGAGAGAGAGTAGATTCAAGTAGACACCTGTGTACACAAACAGCCATTTAAGTAAACATACAAAAGACGTCAATAATGAACAGTCACCAAACACCTTTTATATTTGTCAATACATTATCTAGCTATCAGTCACTCTCGAATCTCATAAAGTGTGAACAGTTTCCAGGGGTTCTGATAAAGCAGGTCAATGAAACCATGGTGGAAATGCACGACGAGAAGATAATTCCCCTAAAACAGAAGTGAAATCACAGCTGTGCGGAATAATCAAGATAATAAAGATCTTACTTTAGACTGTCCATCTCTTGAGGCAAGTTGTAGCTCAAAAGGCGGGAGAAATTTCGTAGATGGTGTTCCCTGGTGAAGGTGAGCTGAAGCACTTGATCCATGTACCTGTGCAGTAGATACAGGCAAATACAGACAGTAAGTCTTCTATTTTTTGCAATTAAGAAAGCTAAAGGGAGAATTCATATAGTAGTATGAGATGATAAATGTTGGTAATCTATATTTAGGTCCCACGGAGGGCCGGAGCCCTGCAGATTTTTGTTCCAACACACATACCATGTAAATTTTAAATAAGCCTGAAGGACTTGATTAGTTGGATCAGGTGTGTTTAATTAGGGTTGAATCTAAACTCTGCAGGGCTCCGGCCCTCCAGGAATTGAGTTCGACACCCCTGGACTATGGGGTTTTCCAGAAGACATGAAACAAAAAAAAAACAGTACAACTTTTTCTTCCAGGGAACTGGGTTTACATAAATCGTGTTTTTATTTTTATACTCTTGACATGTAGACTGAATTTCACCAGAAAAGCTCAATCCTGTCAACATCTTGACAGTAAGGATGCAGTTCCCCACCATGAACCTTTCTAAGAATTTAAACAAACTAGACAGCCTTTACTTAACCCTCATATTGCATTCTAGCCATTCTTTCTTTTTCCTGAAAATGCTACTTAATGTTATCGCATAGGACTAAAACCTACTGACTTTGCTCCCACAGGGTATAACGGCTTCCCAAAAATTATTTTAGTACTTTTTTTTCCCACCTTGTTACACTTGTTGTGGTCAAAGATGACCAGTCTACAAAAAAATTCACTCAAAAACAGGTTCATAAGCTCATATCAGTCCTAAAATCAGTAAGTTCCAAAAAAGAAATTCAAACCTGTACTAATTGAAAAAAAATGAGTTAATAATAAAAAAAAAGACTTAATCCATGATTTAGTGATTATATAGCATAACAATTTACAAGCAATTTTTAAAAGGCCAGTCATTTTTGACCAAAACAGACAAATTAGGAAAAGGATTTTCAGCACAGGACAAGTGATAATTCGACAGATGTTATATGATCACGCACTTTTCCATAGTGCCAAATAGCCACTTTGGCTCCTTGTTGAAGGGCATTCTCATTCCATGAAATCTGGCGATCTTTTCAGCAATCTCAGCAAATATACCAGGGACACTCAGCTCATCTGTGGACAATTTTCGACTCTGCAGAACAAACATTGAACTTTCAGTTTGTGTTTTTAGAACTAAAACAGAAACAATTACACAAGTAAAACACAATAAGTTGCATCACAGGTTTAAGTTTCTGTGTATTTAAAATCCTGGAAAATGATTCAGATCAATGTATTTATCTTGCAATTTTCAAGAAAGGGATTCATAAGCATTAGTGTCAAAACACATGTTGTGCACTGTTTCACATCCAGATTGTCTTCTCAATCATCATAGCAGCAAACTTTAAGACTCACAGGGACAAACTGTTCCAGTCTCCCCTGTGGAAAAATGCCATAGAGTTTGGGCCCAAGCTCCCTCTCGGCCAGGATAGCAAACATAACACTCTCCAGTACCATGGCATCAGCTCCCTGCAAACACAAAAACATACGGATACAGTTTGGACACTCAACAAGTTATATCAACTGCCAAGATTGGTCAACAAACTACACAGACTGCAATGAAACCCTGCTTAGTTTATTCTGATAGGATCTTCGGTCCCTTAGGTCAAAACTGTGATGCTAAAAAGGAAAATGAATTTTGCACTGAAATCAATTCAATCTACAAGCCAGCCATTTTGTAACAGTGGTGATGAGCAGAAGCAAATTCAATGGCAGTGCGCTGGAGCAAAGTGAGTTAAATGAGAAAAAAACAAGAGAGGCAATTGTGCTGAGCAAGGCAGAACTTGCCAAACATCCCAGTCATTAATTGTGGCTGCTTAACTAGCAATGACATTAAGCCTGTTTTTGGACAAGGCTGTGCCAAGTGTTAATACACAGAACCGAAAGAGCTCCCTTCCTATGTGGGGGAAGTACTTGTGTAAGATATCTAAATTTTTCAAAACACACTATAGTTCTGCTTTTACTCGTTCCTTCCTATTAGAGATCATCTAAGAACAGGTTGCAAAGAGATTATATATTTACCAGGTATCAGTCATTGAGTGCTGTACTTTGAACTATTGCCTTAGGAATCCAAACCTGGTAGGGCAAATGTTGCGAGCATGAATGATTCAAATGTAAGGGCATTCCTTTAACTTGAACGACATTTGTCTCATGACAATGTTATGCAAACGTTTTGATCACAAACTGGCATACCAATATGGTAAAAGTAAAGGCAAACAGAAAGTCCAAAAACAAAAATGACAAACTCCTACATTCCCTGGTGAGTATCGTGGCAACTCTTTTCAATATAATGAAAGTGAATGAGAACTGGGCTGCCAATCTCCAAAATGAAAAAATAAAAGTCATGCAATAACTCTGTGTGAGGAACAGACCAACATTTAAGTTGCTATTCACTGAACAACTTCTTCTACAGTAGCACTTAAATGCTGCAAGAACCAGATCAGTGTGATTCATGAACTGGATCCGTTGACTCTTTAAAAAGATCAGACTCAAAACTGTCAATTTCTTGTCTTTGTTTGATATTTTCAATTAATTAATTACATTAATCAAGATTTATATTTTTGTGTTCCACTTATGAAAGGAAGCCAATTTTGGAGAGACATAAGGGTAAACGAAATATGACTTTTAATTTAAAATGTTGTGTCAACTACCCCTTTAAGATCACAGTCTTGCTCTGTGGTAAATTACTGTAAATATCGTAATTACGAGTTTCGAGAACAGGAATGACCAATCAATGTCATATTTACAAGTGGGAAACTCTAGAAGTTATTTGAAACGTGGTGGAAACACTAATCTATAATACAGACAATGTATATATAATCTACATATACGTATAATCTATATATAGCGATCAGGGAGTGGAAAACAAGTCCGTAGCGAAAGGTGTAGCGAATCACTCAAATTTTCATGGTTTACTTGACATTTAGTTGTGATACCATGTATAAATAAGTGACATAAATTAATATTTTTCATTATTTTATATTCAGATGTAGTTATTTTGTTAATTATTGTAATTGTAGTTATTATTTGGTTTAATTCTTGTTCCATTTCCAACATGAATGTGTGACATGTCATAATAATGAACACCTGACTCAGAGGAACAAGTTTCCCAGGTGCAACTGAAGGCAGCATTAAAGGGTTAGTTCACCCAAAAATGAAAATTAGCCCAAATTACTCACCCTCAAGTCATCCTAGGTGTATATGACTTTCTTCTTTCAGACGAATTCAGTCGGAGTTATATTAAAAATTGTCTTTGATCTTTCAAGCTGTTTAATCCCACTCAGTGGGTGTTGCATGCATCAGTCCAAAAGAATTTAAATAAAAACCGCCCATCCATAAAAGAAAAGTGTCTCACACGGCTCCGGGGGGTGAACAAAGGCCTCCTGTAGCGAATCGATGCGTTTTTGTAAGAAGAATATCCATATTCAAAACGTAATAATCACTTTGATGTAGCTTGCGCCAACAGTTGTACACGGAAGCAGCTCCGGGCGGATGACGTAAGAGGGCAGCATTGCGCATGCGCCGGTGAGTCTCGTGAAAACCAATGTTTGTTAACAGGATCAAAGGAAGCAAAGTTTCCTTACTTTAGCAAAGGAAAACCAGTCTCCTCTTGGCTTATATCGAAATCCTCCAACATTCTTCTTAGAGGCCTGCAAGCCCGTCGGGTCCCAACACGCGGTGTCTATTCGGGCCGGGCTCGGGCCTTTTTTTTTTTTACAGATCGGGCTAGGGCTCATTTAGCTTCTCTCCTTTTATTGTGCCCATATAGCCCTACGCGCAGAGCACACATAGGCTACTGTATGAAATATTGTTATATTGATTATATTATAAATATTATACATCGCATATGCAATACGCAAAGCATATACGCACGCATTAGCATACAGGTGACAGTTGACCATGCAGAGCATCAGGGAGAAGTTGGAGCGTGGGGAGTTACTAAAAGTTCCCAATGCTTCGGGAAAAGCTGCATTTTGGAAGAGTTTTGATTTGATTACCAGAGCAAACAGTAGTGAGTCAACTGGTCATGTGCAGTGCACAGTTTGCAAACATATCCTTGCACATGACAGCAAAAAACGCATGCAATAGGCTAAAGCGTGCCTCAAAGCCCCAGCAAAAGTAATTACCATGAATGTGTCGGGGGAAATAGTAAGGGGATATTTGAATTATTTATTAATAAATTAGTGTTTTCTGAGTCCATGTCGCAAAGATGAAGATGACGATCCTGACTCGCCATCTCCTCATTGAACGCGCCTTTAGAGAGAAATGCATAGGCCTATTTAGGGATTTTATAAATTACATAAAGAGAGTTTTTGTTTTTGATTTGAATTATTTAGTTTTAAAGTAGTAATTTAAAGCTTTCTATAGATATATTTAGCAAGTCTGTGAGGCAAGTATTCGCTGCGTTTCGGTTCATCATTGTGAAGCGCTCCTGGCCGAAATTGCTGAAAGCGCATCCTGTAGGCCTATGTATCTTTTATTTTATAAAAGCACAACGTTTTGTTGATATTGTGAGTGCACACAAATAAAAGTAGACCCTTTACAGTTCCGAGTGATGCATTACTCTTACCTTTATGAGCAAAAATGACGACATATTTTACATTGTTTCCAATGCAAGTGATCGCGCCGGCGCCTCTATGTCCTGTAAAGCGCGCTTTAGCTCTCCGCACAAACGATTAGATATGCGTCGAATAGCGCACATTTATATAGGTTAAACATTTAAACTAACATTGTGATATGTTTGAACTGTTTTATTTGTATAGATTTTATTTTAGGCAAGTCGTGATGATTTGAGAAGGCTAAATTGATCAAACATATAGGCTATCAGCTCACTGTCTGCCGCTGGCCAATTGGTTGTTACTTTAAAAAACTAAAACGTACATTTAACGAACAAAAAAATACTACAAAAGTTTTTCTAAATTAACTTAAAAAAAAAACAAGACGAAATATAATCACTTTGACATTACATACAAAACGGAACTATTTTAATAGCTGAAACAGTAGTATAAGCTGTTTTGGGAGAAGGGGGGGAGACGGGCTAAGGTTGGACTCGGGCCAAGAATTCTGATGAGCTGTCGGGCTAGGGCCTATATTTGAGGCCCATGCAGGGCTCTAATTCTTCTTTACAAATCCTTGTTTTGTACTTTTAATAAGCGACCATTGTTTTGTTTTGATTTCTCCCCTGCACTTCCACGTGCGTCACTTCTGAGTGGCGCATGCGCAAAGCTGACCTCATACGTCATCCGCGAGCTGCTTCCGTGTACAACTGTTGGCGCAAGCTACATTAAAGTGATTATTACGTTTTGAATATGGATATTTTTCTTACAAAAACGTATCTATTCGCTACAGGAGGCCTTTGTTCACCCCCCGGAGCCGTGTGAGACACTTTTTTTTAATGGATGGTCGGTTTTTATTTAATTTCTTTTGGACTGATGCATGCAACACCCGCTGAGCGGCATTAAACAGCTTGAAAGATCAAAGACAATTTTTTATATAACTCGTTTTAATATAACTCAGATTCGTATGAAAGAAGAAAGTCATATACACCTAGGATGACTTGATGGTGAGTAATTTGTGGGCTAATTTCATTTTTGGGTGAACTAACCCTTTAAGCATGGATTGCACAGGTGTTCCTGTATTTAGGGTCATATTTAAACAACAGAAAGTCTTTTGCCAAGTACTAATAATCAAAGTCGAATAATGCATTGGTCTTGAGTCTTTTTTCTCACTACAGCTCAATTTAATGAGGTCAGGTAAAAGCACTGAGCTAATTTCATCCCAATGTTTGAAATTAAGCAAGAACGGCACACAATTGCGCAACAAACCTGCCGAGGGAATATCAGCTGACCTGCAGGGTAAAAAAACATCCGTTTCTCTCAGAAATTAAACAGGACACTATGGCCTTCCCATTGGAGGATAATTCTTACGGAAAAACCTGGAAGGAAATTAAACTTCCTCAAAACATACTACACAAACACCATCAATGGCTTGCATTGGAAGTAGAAACGTATCGGGAGAATCAGAGTTTTCTCATTCTTTATTCAAAATATGTAACATAGTATGTGACAACGACTCATGCTCTTCATTCAAATTTGTTCTGAAATGTCTGGCACTTTAAGTTTGGTCTGCTGCCCAGTGAGTCAAATGATTTAACAGACAGCATTCTTCTACGAAAATAACACATATGAACTACAGAAACTGATTTCAGACAGATTTCCTAAAAACAATTTAAAGTGCTTCAAGACAATTCAACTTTGGGCCTAAGGGCCACTGTTCTGCAGAACATAGTGCCAACCCTAATCAAACACACCTGATTAATGAAGGTCTTTAGGATTACATGACAATTACAAGCAGGTGTGTCTGAATGCACCTGTGATAGTGTCTAATGACTTATAAACAGGGGTGCCCAATCCTGTTCCTGGAGATCTAACTTTCTGCAAAGTTCAGCTCCGACCCTAGTTGCACGCACCTATACCAACAATATTTAAAGTCTTCAGGAACACTTGATAATTAGAGAAAGGTGTGTTTGATCAAGGTCGGCACTGAACTCTGCAGGAAGATATATCTCCAGGAACAGGACTGGGCACCTTTGACCTAGAACAAATTCAAAAGAGCTTCAAACGTAACCAGATATTTAAATTACTACATGGCTTATTTCTTGGTAAAAGGGGGAAATTATTGAATCTATTTCATTTTCAATCACTCCATTAGATGCCACTTTTATTTATTTTTTTATTTTTATTTTATTTATAGTCACCAAACGGCTAAACAGTGCGCATAGGATACATCAATGCTGCCTTCAGCAATCGGTTAGATTAGAATCATGCCTTCCTACCTCCATATACTGCCTGCAAAGCCAGCATTTTTCAGGTTTCAAACACAGTCTCTCTCTCTCTCCCTCCCTACCCTGTTATCTGACTAAGCAATGGCCATGTGACTACAGAGCAGCAGCTGCTTGGGTTTTTCCAGTGCCTGTTAATACACAAGGCAGAATCACAGGATTACTGAAGCAGATCAGTTCACAGCAGCACAGGGGTAGTATCTACATGCAGGTGTTATCAATGTCCAGTTAGGAGGGGAATTCCATCTCAACAGTACCACTACTGACAGCCCTGTGTGGATGCACCTAAGCTAAATGGACATAAAACTACACATGCAAAAGAGATAGAAGCAAAATTTGCAATAGGCCAGACAGCTGATACTGAACTGAGACAGTGAAGTTAATGCTGGGAAAAGCTTCTAATAGGATGCACTGCTATGTGACTCTCAGGCAAATAATGCAACTCGGAAAAAAGTGTCAGGAAATGCGTTCCAGTGCTGTTATCAGTTCTGGGCCATCTCTCTTTATAGCTATGAATATGAACCTTTACACAATCAATATAATTAATTATAATATAATAATAACTATATAATTATAATTCAATTTTTTTTTTATCTCGTTTTGAGTAAAAATATTTAAATATTGTTAAAACAAGACAATATTACTGGAGAAACAAAGTTGCATAATACAGAATTCGTTTCAGAGAATAATAATAATTTTTATCATTTTTATATATAATTTTTATAAACTTTATAACTTTTAAATCGTTAAATTGAATTTGCATTTCTTTTTTAAAAAATCTTATTTTTCTTACCCCATTGGAAAATATTTGTAAGTTTTAAGCATTAATATAAAAAATATACCCGGTCTCATGGCAAAAATGTACCTGGGGGCACTTTTTCGCGAGACGCGAAATACGTACCAATAAGTACATATCACTGCAGTTTCCAAAAGAAATGAACACTAGAAGCAGTAAAACTCTGACACCTTTTAAATTATTTTCACACAAAGTATGATTTACAGAGTTTCGATTAATAAAGCGTAATTTTCGCACAATTACTTGAAGAGTATTATGTTGTGACTTCAACATTTTTTTAATATGCTGAGAGATTTGAAAACTGATGCATTTGAATGTTAGCACCGCACATATCCAGCTTCATATTAATTGGTTTTCATAGACGATAGGTTTGTTTGGTAGCTCACGGAGTACGGAGACGTACTTAAGAGGTGAGGAACTCCGGATCGAATCCCGCGTAATTACAGTTCGACAAAACAGTTCGAATCTGCATTTAAGTTAGTTAAAATGGCACGGTTGCATCAAAAAATGTGTTTTTATATCAGTTTTGCATTTGTTAACACTATCGGGTAGGTTTAGGGTTGGGTTTGGTGTAGGGCATATTTCCAACACGATAGACCATTAACTTTTAGCTAGAGTCCCCGGATATTTGAATTCTGAATCGCCGCAATACGTACCTGAAGAAACATAATAAAAACACAGCAATATGTACCTATATCAACGTAATAAAAACATGCCAGGGATGACGTATTGAACCCGTGTTTTAGCGCCACTCAGTGTACATTTCTCTTTGAAAGTGCGGCAAAACGTGCAGTAAGGTACGTAAAAACGGTGTTGCAGAAAAGTACCCAGAGGTACGTATTTTTATGAGACTGGGTTGTAAAAAATTAGTTGGGGTAAAAAAATTAACTTGATTGAAAATGTATTTACTGAACACAAGTCCTATAACCTTATACAATTTTGCATGTGAACATGCTGTTTCAAGAATTCTTTTATATTTTTACTAAAAAAACAAAACAAAAATGATTATCAAAATTATTTTGGGATGCATTAAAAAGAGGGGTCCCAAGTGATAAATTTTTTCACCAAAGACAATATACTAAAATACGAGAATGTAACAATAATAAACCTGAGAGCTCATGGAAAAAAATTTTACCTAAAAGTTTGAAATCACAACCGAGACGGGTCCAAACAAAACATTTCTGAAGACCCAAATAGCTTGTCCCTTGGCCTTTGAGGATGATGGGAGGTAACAATTATCAAAAACATGTTCCATTGAGACCAAGCACAAATATTTAGTACACAACGCTATTCTCCATTACAAGTAAAATATATAAAGGGTTTGGTGTCCATGGTAATAAACACTATGTAAATCTCACAAGAGCTTATAAAATGCCTTAATGAACTCTAAGATTTATTTGTGAATCGCTGTGTAGCAAAGTCCACACACTCTGGAATTTGTCATTTGACTTCAACCAGTTCTTTTCCACGTTTAAACACCTGACTTCAGAGGATTGGACTGTGGACCTACTGACACCTCATCAGGTATGACATCATAAGCTTCGTGACAGCTGTTTATTGAAAACATCCAGAGATTAAAAGCAACTCATCATTACAAAAATCAAACACCAAAGCCCAAAGGGAACATTCAGACACTTCTTAATAATGTGTTCATTCACATGCATTTATAGCTTACTTATTTTTAGGAAAATATTGATCTATCTGTCATATAATATAGCTAATAATTTTTTATATGTTACATTTTACTTGAAATATATTAATAAACAAATATGAAAAAAAGCAGAAAATATTTTAATTTGCTAAAAATTATGTCATTACATGAACAATAATCATAAGGCACACCCTTTATAAGTAATGCTGCTATTATCATAATGCTACTGATATGGCATAATAAATTAAATATTAAAGGTAACACTAGGGAATATTATTCACTGCATATTACTATCATATTGGCTGTTTATTAATACGTATAAAACGCATATTAATGCATGACCATATTCTAGATCCCTTAATCCTACCCTATACCTAAACATAACTACAACAACAACTACCTTACTATCAATAAACATCAAATTAGGAGTTCACTGAGGGAAAACTCTCAGGTAATAGTGAATATGTGTTCCCTAATCTAAAGCGTTACTCTATTAAAAAAAGTGGAATGCCACCAAAATCCCTTATGATTCACTGCCGCAACTCCTTTGGTAATGTAAACGGCATCTAAATATTTTTCAAAGGAGTAATAAAGAGTTGAAAAAAAGCAGACAGAGGCAGAAAATACTTTAGAGAGAGCACATTGTGAGCGTAGTTCTCAAAGATTTTAAAGACTGAGATGCGCATAAACTTGAAGACAATGCTGTGGCTTCAGGGATCGCATACTGTACCGTGAGTGCTATGTTGGGATCACCTGGAAACAAGAGTGCTCAAGGCACGCTCCTTTGGCAAGCCTACGGCAAAGAAGACACGCAAGTACAGCGATGGAGGTACATCACCAAATAAAAACTGCCTCTTTAAATTTAGAGGGAACACACACAAATACAAAATCTCTGTTTGAGGCAGTTTATTCAATACCGATTCTGCCTAATGAAATTAGGTATGAATATCTCACAACAGTCACTAATTCAGTAAAACCATGATTACAGGTTATTTTTGGCTAGTTTAACGCACAAATTAATAAACTGCTTAATTGTTTTAACGGTTTAAACTGAAATTACTGCCATCCAAACTATCCCAGATACACAATACCTAGTTTCAGACTAAATGGCAAGGTTTAACATTTGGCAATAACGTCCTGTATGTATGCATGTATGTATACTTCCCAGCTTACTACAGGAAAATAACACAAAAACCTGACCTATACATCTTAAAAGTTAACATATATTTGGGGTTGAAATGGTTAAGGCATAGGTTACTTAGCATTAAGGTGATAATATTTTTTTAAATACTAAAATTACAAATCAAGAATGCTAATACATAGGCCTACTACTTTGCATACTATTAGACCTGACTATGCAATATGGCACTTAATTCATACTTGAACATTTCACCAAGTAAAAAAAAAACTAACAACACACCTGCAGAATTTGTCCATACAGGCGAAGGAGCACGTTTCGTGGTTCATCTCCAATGCTTGGTTGCTTCTCTGGCAAAGCGCAAAGGAACAGCTTGTTGCTGAGGCCTCCCCTAGAAGCAAAATAGATATGTTAGAAAAGAAAAGAACTGCATTCTTACAATGAATCAGGATACATCATTATTTACATCCAGACAATACCACTAAGAATAATGCTCCCAACAGGAAGCGTTTTGAGATTCATTTCTGCACCAAAACTGATACCTTAAAATTCTGCACACATCTATGAAACACAAAATGCTCACTACGTTGTATTCTATTTTCCAAAATGCTGTTTAAGGCACATAACTAGGCTTTGAGACACAGTCCCTGCATTTTAATGTATACTGTATATATATATTACACAGGAAGTGCCTGAAATGCGCTCTATGTGGGCAGCTCACTCGGTTTTAAGACACAGCCAGTTCATGGAAAACTGAGCCACATTACTGTAGTATTGCCCAATCTGCTATTATCTCATGACCAAAGAAAGCTAAACATACAGTACAAAATCATCGTATGAAAGGAAATTCGCGCGTTTTCAGTGAGCGTGTCGCCCATTTCCGAATAATGTTACTTTTAAGGTGCCGTCTTGACACAAGTAAAAGCAGTCATGTCGCAGTTATTTACATTCCTAGTCGCTTAGCAAACCAGAATACCTGATAATAGAGATTTGGAAATCATCCTCATCTATGGATTTCCAGGCTCCGTGAAGAAATTCTTTACACCACAGATACGCCCTATGCTTCGTCTGGTTGTCGGGCACATCCGGTCGAATAATGTCTTTGCAGTCATTCTCACTGTCTGGCTGGACTTCGAGAACATTCTCGTTTACCAATAAACCCAGAGACAATGTAGGCGAGGAAGACACGCCATTGATGAATTTAGTCTTCATTTTTGCTGTTGGTTACTGGTATAAACGTAAATAATCAAAATTTGCAGGCAATGAATTAGATCACAGGCTCTCTATGTAGCTTAATAACTGTCAGATATTTTAAACGCAGATTTAATGGGGCTAATTACTGACACCGTGTAACCGTACGCACGATGGTGAGGAACACTGCTTCAGACGCGGTTGTTCGTGCGCAGTATGTTGAAGTCGAGTGGGTTTGACCTCCCGTCACCCGACCACACCCATTCTGCTCTCTGATTGGACAACAGAGTCACGTCCCCTTCATTCCAAACTCGAGCTACGACACCAGTAAACAATGGCTTAAACCCGAGACGCAAAAAACTAGATCTGTTTAACAGGATTTAGAAGGGTTTCATTTTTTATTTCAATTTTTTTCTATCTATCTATCTATCTATCTATCTATCTATCTATCTATCTATCTATATATATATATATTTTTTTTTTTAGTTCTTCCTATTCCATCAAGCCACACTCCAGCCCAGTAGATGGCGGGAATGCACCTATCGTTTGTTTGCCAACTGCCATAAGACTCCAAAAGAAGAAGAAGAAGAACCCGAGACGCACTGCACTATTTTCGGCTGTACCAGGCGAAAGATTGGCATCGTGAAACAATCGTGGCGATTTCTGTGTAAACGGTGGTCCTGTGTCGTACAGTGAGAGAGGCTCAAAGACGGCCGTTTTCACTGTCTTGCGACCAAAAATAGCCTACGATCATTTTCTGACAGTGTGTTAGAAATTCAGCATGATCATCGCACAGTGTGTTTGCTGCTACGACCCACGTTTACTGTACAGCCGATAAAATGCGACATGAAATCAACGCGACACGGCGCTAAAACATAAAACTGCTTACCTCAAGCTCTTATCTCTTCCCTCTTTTTGTCACTTTTTTCAGCACACATAACTGCCAAAGTGTGATTCATCATGCTCTTTTTGTTTAGCACTAAGTTTTATTCTTCTATAGTAACGTGCGTCATAGCGTACAGTCTGCACGCATGTCGTACCCAAGTTTATCAGATCCATGTCGCACAGTGTGGTTTGCATTGCTAAAGTCGTGCAGTGTGTCGAAGGAAATACAGACACAAATTGCACATGTTTAGTAAGATATGTACATTGTATAATATATCTTCTTAAAAAGGGTCGACTCATATTACTACTGTTTATTATTTTATTTATTTTTACTAGGCATATATATGGGCTTATTGCAAAAAATAATATATTTTTTTAATTATTTGGTTTAATAAAATAATGAATTTACTCAAAGTGGTTAATGTCAAGTTTGTTGCCTGTTTTATTAGTGCAGAAGAGGATTCCTTCCCTAAATTCTTTTTTTAGGTTTAGGGGTGGGGGTGAGGGGGCTGGCTGGTGGTTTGCAATGCGGTTTAGACGTGTCGTTCCACACGTATCGGGTCTGTGCGATCATTCCTCTGGGTCTGACTACAGTTCCGGACAGTGGTCCTCTGTAGTCGCATGACCCTGACGGGAACGTATTAGTCATGAACACTACGTGTGGATAACACTGTCCCACAGCCATTTGAAACGGCAGCTAAAACGGTGACTTTGAGCAATCTTGTTAACTTAATAGTGGTTACATGTTCAAAGGATTCGTGTAGCGCAAACTCCACGAATAACGCACAGCAGTCGTCAAAAATACTAAGAAACTAGTGAGAAATCGCCTTGCTTAGGTTGGTGTTTTGTGGTGGATAGAAGGAAAGATGCTGTCTGTGCGATTTTATTTTGCAAGACCACAGAAACTATACGTGAATCAGTGAGACGAAAATGAAAAGAAAAACAGTTTTCAAATATAATCTATACCTCACCAAAATAAGGGAAAAGCATTATAAAAATGAGGAAGAAATAGAATTGCTTGATTTCATTAATCAGCATAAAAACGTTTCAACATTTCAATAAGTTATATCTGAACGAATTAAAATACTGTACATATACAACTAGCCATGTAATACAAGGAAAAGATACACACCTGAGAAAATGGTAATGTTTCTCTCAGCCCTGTTATCAGGGGCCCCTATTCCTCTATCTAGCATAAGGCTTTTCAAACTGTTCCTGGAGCCTGAATGAGTTGTTAGATAAGATAATGAATACAAAATGTGAAATGTGGGTCCCCAGGACATGGATTGACAACCACTAGTATAACCTATGCATTGCGCCTGGGGGAGAGAGAGCCACCAATTAAAAATGTGTTCCAGGCTACAGGAATTAAGCGATGACCTAAATGATGCTCAAACTTTAGATGAGATTTAATATGATCAGTGGTTGGTCACACTTTATTGCACTATGGGGACCAAGCACCAGCAAACCCGAAAACGCCTGAAAATAAGCAGTACTGAAAATTATTTCAGCAATACTGAAAATAATTAACCGCAACTGCCCATATTTATGTGATTGTATGTGAGAAAAAAAGCCCAAACTGCTACACATTCCCCACCCTTTGCATGTTTGTTTCATTGTAATTCAGTTTCTTTATTATAATTTAAAAAGTTCATAATAAATGTTCCAACGGTAGAACTGACCCTAAAAAATGAAGATACCAATATAATTTTGTGGTCCTCTCGGCTCCAAAAAAATTTCACCATATTTAAATCCATCCTGTAACTGCATTTGTGCAGAAAACCTAGAAAATTATAACAATTGAGTATGGTAACCTGCAACTACACAAACTACAAATACATCTAATAATGACATCAGACAAGCAAATATCTTGAAAATGAGTTTTATAGTTTTCAAGTACTTAAAACAGTTAAATTAAAACAAGTCCCAGAATATACAGAGTGAACAGTATGCCCCCAGATTATGTATACATCCTACATTTTTACTTTCATGATGCTCTTAAGAGTCAGTTTGTAAGCTTGAGACCATAGGAGTTTTGTGATCATTAGGATAAGAAGCTGATAACTTCTTAAAAGCCCACAGCTGCAAACCTTTGACACTACAGAATGTAAAGAATATAATGAAAGAAAGGATAAAAAAAAGGTACAAATAAAAATAGCCTAATATGGCAGCTGCCTACTTATAGGATCAACAATGGAAACACCAACAACCGCTTTGAATACCTTAGCATTTTTTTCATTTTTATAATTTTTAGGCAGAGCACAAAATGCACACAAAGTCAATCAGATGTACTGAATACCACAATGAACATGATTCAGGAAAACAGATTCTTGATTGATGTTTCAGTACAATTTATCTCTTGAGGACTTTTATCTGTAGGCACGCTTCTCTATGGACTTCCAAGGTCACACAAAAAGGGTCTGACGTTCACAGAATAATAATTCAATCATCCAATATCTTAATGGACCAGCACCAGGCCACCACAATGAGCACCACGGCCTTCCATGGCCAAAAAATCTGAAACATGAATATTTTGATACAAAAGAAGTGGAGATCTGTATAAATTTGAGCTCCTCTGCACATCGTTTACTCAACGATTCCCTTTATCCAGATAAAGCTGAGGAGAGAGACACACGTGATTCTTGTGCATGGGAACACTGTTGTTGAAATATGAAGTGTCAACCTTTTGAGGTGAAACCATGCACATGTTTCCCATAAGTGAATTAACATGTTGCAAACAAAGCAGAGGGGTTTATGGAATAAAATAATCAAGCTGGACAGAATGCTAACAAACATCTGCACATTATCAGACATACGTAACCTGTACACTTTCTACAATATTTATATTCATAGTGAGGAAACAATAAAGAAGTGCCATCACTAAAAGGTAAAGAAAGATATCTTGCCATGATTTAATTGTACATTTGCATTTTCTATTTAAATTACATATGTTCAAAATGAACATGATTGAAACAATGGGTATTTACACAGCTTATGCATTGAGTCTGAGGGACTGATCTTCTCGTCGTCTGGAGGAAATGTCAATGTCTATGGAATCTTTGCCCACGATGAGACGCAGGCGTTTTGCTGGTGGGAGTGGGATGAAATCATCCTCGTTATCAAAGTAGTCCTCTTCTTCATCCTCAGAGGACAGCGATTCCACTTCCATGTTCTGACCTACCTGAGCTCCTGCCTTGTGATCCAGAACATCCCCCGCTTCACGCTTCATGATGCCTAAGGTGACGTCCTCCTGGTAAGGGCGATGCAAACCCGTGCTGTCTTCCTCCCGCTTCAGCTGGATCTTGAGTTTGGTGGAGCTGCTGTGGGAGACGTGGCTGAAGCCGTTGTTCAGTTTGGCCACGTATGAGCCGCTTCGGTCCTTCTCGTGCTCTTTGCTGAACTTGATGCTGATTTTGGAGGAACTGGAGGAGTTGGCCTCTCTTGCCTCATTCTTACTGCTGCTGCTGTCTCGACGCCGGCGTAGTGTTATCTTGGGGATGCCTGAGTTGTTCTGCAGAATCAGCTGAGCGTCATAGCGTGTGATCTGTCGCTTCTTCTTGCCCTTGCCTCGGCGCAGGGCCTTGCTGCTTTTAGTCGAGCCGTTGTAGTGCTGGTGACGGTCCGGCAGGCCGAGTACTACCTTCCCACAGTCTGCTACATCTGCAGCCCGAACCGCGTGCCGCAGGTCAGGCACTCCCTCCTGGAGGAAAGACTCGTCATAGGAGCCGGAGTCTTCCTGTTTTATTGTCCTCCTGCGTCTAGGACACGTCCCTTTCTTAGGACAGCTGGTCTCCAAACTAGGGGTGTTCATCTGGTGACCTGGTGTCACAGGGATGAGCTCTCCAGGCTCCGACTTGAGGACTACACCCGGGCTAGGCGGCTGACTTGATGCCTGCGTGCCGTCAGCCCCATGAGCACCGAGAGAGGTCCTCGTGGACCTACGAGTTCTGTAAGGGCAAAGTATGCTGTCCTTGCATGGGGAAGCACCCTTCGAAGAGCTCTGATTGTTTTCTGATGGGCGCGCTACACTACCTTTGCCTCCAGAGCCGCGTCTGTCTGTGTCTCGTCTGGAGGGCTCCATGAGATTCCCACTAGCACTCACTCGGCTAGAAGATTTCATCCATACTCCTCGACACCGTCGTCTTCCTTCAGGCAAAGGCTGTGTGGGCTTTGACTTAAGTCTCTTTGGTAAACTTGAAATATTCACTTGACTTCGTTTAGAGGATGAGGTAGAAGAAGGAGTGCTTGACAGAGTTTGCCTTGTTACAGTTTTAGCTTCTCCGTGCTTTTTGACACAGGACTGTGAAGACCTCTTACGTAATGCTGGAAAAAAATTGAAAGGAA